GAACATAAGAGACGGGCGAATACGGCAGACCAACTCGGAACAAAACGTGGAAAGAATACATCAACCCCCACGCATTCTGCCCACTGCTTCCTCTCGCACTGGGCAGTTATAGGTCTTGCTTATCGAAGGGACATTGCAAACTCAGCCAAGTTCAAAACAGACTTATTAATTTCGGAGATCTGACAGCAACAAGTGTGTGATATATTTGCACTTCGTTGGGAGGCATTGTCACAAGCACGATTACGCTCGAGAGGAGGAACCAGCGAGCGTTTGGTCGGCTTCTATACAGACGGGGGGAACGAGTTCCGTTCTCCTCGAATCAGCGAGATGATTTTTCTTCGGATTAATTGCTTGTGCGCCCCTACGACGACAACGGCTTTACATTGTGCGCACAGACGGGTGGAGTTCTTTCCGTGTGAGTTGCCTTTGACTGGTAATTGCATTCGTCGAATTTTGCTCTCGCCAACAGCTTTGTTTGATGTGAGCCTTTCATTTAGAATTTTTACCCAACAAATTTGACAGCTTACACCGAGCCATACATAGGCCTATAGCAGAATGCAAGGCTGCCTGTGGTTTTTGGCCGTCACGGCCACAACCCAGAAGGCAAAAAAGTGGATTCTTTGTCATGGAAATGAGTATTCCCAAAGTTTCTTTGTAAAGCTGTTGAAAAAGTACAAACCTAGACCACATTTTGAATGTGTTCATTACTTTTCCATTTACGTCATTACTTCATTAAGTGATCTCTTCACTGCGAAATCGTTGCTATACAATGTATTTTCACTAAGGCTATCAGGAATAGGGCCTACATGTTTTAGCATGTGGCAATGACTAACAATGCGTTTTGTTATTATTTATTCATAAATACCTAGACGCTAGAACTGTACAGAAAGTCGGAACAGATTGGTTAACGACATTTTTTCTGCCATTGATAAATTTGGATTCTACACCGTAAAAAACAGCACTCAGAGTTTCAACACTTTTTGGTACCCATTTTAAATAGATATTTTACGTTGAAATGCGTCCAGGATTGTGTTTAATGCTGAGTGTTTTTTTCCATTGTATACGTTTAGCCTTTTAAAATCAGCTTATCAACCCAGTCCTGAACGCATTTCATTAATAAACACCTAAACGTCGTGGGTGAAACGTGTTTTTAAACAGTGGGTACAAAAAGTGTTTAAAAATGTGTTTAAACTCTAAGCAGTTTTAAACAGTGACATTCCTATTCAAAACCTAGAATTTCAGGAGCAGTTTACCTTTATGTGAGTGATCAGCTTTAACTGTCAGCGATCGAGGGGGAAAATCCGTACGATTGACTCCTCCAATAAAAACAAAATCCTAGCACATACTTGCAAAATACAGGACAGCCCACAGACCCGTTTTGAGATTAACGGGATCCCGTGTGAAAATTTGTCCTAGGGCAAAAAAGATGGTGTACTAATAAATCACACAGACGGTTCTGCAAAATTACTTCCACATCACCAGGAATTCCAACCATGAACTTGGCTGCGAATAATTGGTCCTGCTGGGAAATGGTATGTTTGAATCAACATTTCAGGACTCCCATTACCGTGCGCGCTGGGAGCAATTCATGTTATACCAACAGTGAACACACGCTCGTCTGCTCGATTTGTGAGTTCACATGCCGTCAACCATGTGGTCAACACCTTTTTCTTGCAGTAAACTCGAAGTTTTCCATTGCAGACAAGGCACTTTCAACAGTTTTCGTCTCCTCGGCCTCCCTTCCGACACACGTATACGCTTACATCTCTGGTCTATTTATGTGGAAGAATAAACAAAAACTCAGGTTTGCCTAGTCGTTTAGAGAGACAAGATTTTTTTCAGATTTAATAATGTGAATCTTTCGCCAAGAGGCTAGTTGCAGTGAAAACTGCACCTTGTGTTTTTCCCGCATCTTCAAGGGCAGAACGATCGCGCAACGCGATCAATAGTGGACCCTTGTGCTGTGCATAGCGCTCCGCTGCGGGACAAACTGTCACCCGCCACATTATGGTCTTACAGGAATTGATCGGACTAACCCATTGAAATATCCTAGAGGTATATCTCAGCTTTCGACTATAAGGCCCACTTCAGGTCAGTTTGTCAGTAAGTCGGTTGCCGGTTATTGAGGATTGAGGCCGGCATTTATAACAGAGAGAGCCGCTATACGTATCCGTTTAATATCTTTTGGCTATTCTTACATTGTATTGTGAGGGGAGACGTATATTACTACCTCCTAGCTATGGTAGGTGGTTGGGTGGCGATGTACACGGCAGCAGTGCACACGAGATCTGGACACTACAGAGCTGAAATTTTGCAGCGGGTGTGGACTGGTGACGTAGGAAGGCATTAAAACGGTTCTAACGTTCTAAAAGATTTCTGCATCAGTGTAAATGAGATTACCGATGTGACTTTAATAATTATAAAATAAAAGACCTCCTTGAGAGCAAATTTTGCCCACGAAATTAAAAACATTCCAGGATGCCACCAGACAGTTACTGCGTGCGGATTAACTGTGTAAATTAATCCGAGTTTCACTTTTGTGTGTGTCCTGGCGTAGATTGAATTGTTTCGTCCCGTTCTCGTACAAAAGTCATGTAATTTCGATACAACAACAAAGTCATTTTAAAAAAATCTTATTTTAACTGAATGACGAAGCCCACAAATAAGGCTACAACATGGAAGTACAAGTTTTCCCAGCTATTTAAAACTTTATTATTCAAATTCTTAGATTTTAATTTTCAATTCTGCCAGCGGCATCGTTTTGGTGCAATTGCAATTTTTAAATTCGTCAGTTGTCATAGATTCAATTGTTAGTCAATCGAATTCGAACCACAAGCACACGTTTTCGGCGAGGCATATTGGATTCGTCTCCTTTACGCCTTGCAAGCTGAGTTATTCAGAAAACAAAATTTGTCTTTTCCCAGACAAATATTAATAAGTTTATTCAGTTTTGTGGCGTGCACAAAAAGCATAATTGTCTATAAAGTTAACCCAGCACTGCATGCGTCTCATTTTAATCTTCCCATGTTTCTGTTAATTTAATTTTCTTTTAAACATACTAGCCCTGTTCTGGTTGCAAAAGGGGGAAATAAGAGGAATCATGTGTTTGAATATACGTTCTTCTTCTTTTTCTGTTTTTACAATTTTGACCTGATATTTTGCTTGTTTTTTTTAAAACTTTAAGAGGGTTACGTTTGGAATGTTTTTTAATTTTTCAACTTTTTTGTTAATTTACTGCACTTTAACGATTGTTCTTAAGGGCCAGAGAGGATATGCTTAAGTACAGACAAGACTTTCTAAAAGGAGCCTGCGTTGCTAGGAAAATTTCACCCTCTCTTGGTCAAGCTCGGGACTCATTGTGTGTCACTCTTTGGTACAAAAGGGTTTATTCTTAGATCAGTGGCAGATATTTTATTGGGGACTTGAAGACAAGTTGTTTCGGCCAACATTTACATACATTATCGTGTTTTCCTTTTTGTTCGTTATAAATTATTGAGGTTCCCTCGCGTATCTCCCATTTGGCGAGTTTTACCGGGCTGGTGTTTATAGTTATGGATAAATCACTTTAAATCCACTTTCCAGTGATGCATTATTTACCTCTAAAAGTGCGTGAAGTAACAACCAAGGTGTCCATCAAGCGGACGGACACTTTCAATGGTAAGAACTCCAACAGAGTGGGAATGGCCGGAAGAACACCTTGATTTTCTCAAGACAATTTCCCCGCGCTGTAATTGTACCTGGTAGCTTCATGAAAATGGATGGTAAAAGACCCACACTGACCTCTGAAATGCCCTTTTAAGCGCCCTCGGCATGACAAGCCTTGCTTAGATTACCTCACGTCTGGATCGTTCGTGCAATCATCATTAAGTAAATTCAAACATTTTTCATCTACCGCTTCCTGGAGCATAAGAAGTTCTTAATTATCTACTTCCATTGGCTCTGACGTTATGGAACGCTTTCATGCATAAAACCTGCCCAGTGGCGCTGGCTAGACCAATCATGGACCAATCAAGTCAGGACTGTTTTTGCTCCGTCTGATTTTAGTGTTCTGGCGGCGAGAGAGGATACTCGAAACCGGCTAAGGTCTGTGGGGGCTCCATGCAGAAGGATGGTTACGGGGGAGTAACTGCCAGCCGGCGTCGGCCGTGTATTAATCATTCAACCAGTCAGGAATGGATGACTGAGGAAGCACAAGACTCAGGCATTCTGGGAAAACTGAATGCTTCATATAGTGATGTTTTAATGCCTCAGGTGGCGTCGAGGAAGGGGCAATCGGCGGATATGCACACATGTGTCCTGTAAACAGCATCCCGGACCAACCCTTTGTTTTGCCGACAGCATGACATCATTCGTGGTAATTTTATAGGACCGTGTGCCAATTTCTGGGGGTAATAACACGTTCCCTCTCTGACGATCGTCGACTTCAACACACTTCTCGTTATTGTACGTGTCAGGCCTCAAGCATTTCAGCCAGCCGTTTCCATTCACAGTATCGTTAAGGCTTCACTATATGCGCTTTTTACGTCGTCAGTAATCCTTCAGAGCATGTTTCGGTCAAAGGCCACACAAAATTATTTTCTGTAACATTTCTATGATGGTAGGCCTAGGCCTATTATTATTTGTAAGTTTACTTTTGAGGTGTTATTGATGTCCTCCTTTGGGAGAAATAAGTTGAGCAATTCCCTCTTTTGCTTTTGAAAAACTTAGGCTTTCCGGCATTGTAATTCGTTGACAACGAGGAATTTAACTTCCTTTGAAAAACAAAAGGCCGAATAAACTCGTGATTAACAATGATTCAATCAACACCTGCTCCAAACCCGCTCCTGCAGCTTCGATTACTGCTAACTTAATGCAGCGCCCTCATTGTCACGAGTCCACCGACCAGCGTGCCCTGACAACGGTATCTATGCAACTTGCGCCGACTCGTTCACCTTCACTGACCCCAGTGGGAACTTCTTTTGGCTGGTTCACGGCAGGCATCATTAAATTTTCATGATCAAAATAGAAACTCGTGTGATACCAGTTTTAAAAAAAGTTCGCGAAATTTGTACAATGACCCGGTGGTAACACGGGTAGGTGATGGTACGTTTTGCGACTTTTCCTCAAAATGCTCAACAAAAATATGACCTCACACAGCTTTGATACTTTTCTGGTCGTCTAAATTCTCCCAGTGCATAGGTTACAAGCTGTGCCGTTTGTTTTTCAGAATCGGGTATTTAAGTGAAACAAAAGCACTGATCGTTGGCCTGAGTGAGACCAAGTATGGCCGAGATAGCAACATTGACGAATCTCTCGGCTTCATCAAAGCACTCCATTGGGTTATCCTCGCCACCCGTAGCTCTCCCGTACTTGCCAGCTACTCCACCTCAAGCCAGGATGTCGTCCGTGGCTATGTCATATACAAGGTACGCTGTTGTCGTTGGGCTAAAATCTTTAAAAACAGTAGAGGCGTAGATTTAAACGTCCGCCTCTAGTACGAGACTACGTTTTGCATTATTTTGCATAGGTCCCGGCTTCTAAGTTCCTACTATTACTGCCCTAAGAAGGCCCTAAATGGGGATTGTGAATTTGAGGACCCCTTAAGTTTTTGTCATTTTAATCTGTGCAAAACTGGCCGTTCCTCCCAAAAACCAAAGGCACCGCTGTCAGGCTGAACTGCCCTGACCCTATTTTTTTGGAAATTTCAAATTGTAAATCATGAGAAAATGTGACTTTCCTACTGTGCTAATAACTAGCCATGCAAATTTGACTCCACTGTGTAATATGTGTTAAAACACCGCTAGTTTCCGCTATCAATTTCTCTCAAAACTCAAAACCCCGCCTTCTCTTCACAACATACAGTCATCTACAGTCCAGAAGTTAATGTAGGTCTCCCTTCTGGTATAGGAGTAGGATCCCCAAATTCACAATCTCATAGTAAATTATAGCCTTGCTGTTGACTAAGCCAAGGCTTGCCCAGGGGAAAGAGGCCTGCTTTTTTTTTTTTCATGGATCGACAGTAGGCCTACAATGTAGTTTTACTTGCATAACTGTTTTACTCAATTTGCACAACGTCAAGCTAAATTTTATCGAATTGTGCAGTGGATATTGGGCTGTAAACCAGTAGGCCTAACACTGCATTTTTGCTTTTTTTGCAGTGCAACTGAACACTTGCTATAAAAATTTTGACTGCAAAAAATCTTCATCTGGTTCCACACTTGCATTGTAATTTGTGTATACGTATTCACAAAATGGAATGAAAACCTTGCACGATCATTTGACCTTTTTTCCCTTTGAAAAATAATCCTGTAGAGCCACGTATCACTAATCAATATTTGATCAAAAAGAATAATGTGAAAATGTCGCAACTTTTTTGAGAAGGAGAAAAAAATTTGCAATATGGCAATCTGACTCGGGAATGGAATTGCAGTGCTTTGTGACTGGCTGCGTTGGACGTGTACATCATGCTGTGAAGCACAGTCTTGAACCTTGTGCAAATATATCGTACTCCTTCCTGAGTTGATTTGCCTTTGAATAACATCTACTGTTAGGATAATCAGCTCAGAAGGGAGTACAATAAATTTGTGCTAGGTTCAAGATCGCCCTTAACAGTGTAACCCAGCCACCTGCTGTGAAGTGGGGAGTTGAGCAAATGTATTTAGTGCTAAAATTTCAATGAAAATGAAGTGTTACTGGATGATAGCAAAATGTACTCTTCAATTGAACTCTGAGTGAGCTTGAATGAAATTCATGCAAATAATACTGGTCCCAGGGTCCTAATGAGCCGTTGCAAGTTGACATTGATTAAAATCTGGTACGCAGGGTTACCGCTGTCTGCGGCACGTAAATATGATTTGAATTTAAATTTTGAATTTTGCATAGCAACCATCATCCCTGGAATGGACTGGTTTGTTTGTGCTTGTTTTATCCTTTGAAAATACAGTCATTTGCAAAAGTTTAAGACCACCTGGAATTTTATTTGTATTTCTGTCACTGGGCCTGCATTACACTGTCTCACTGAATGATTACTTAACATGATTTAACAGTGGTGCATAACATCAGTGTAGTGCTATATGCCCATTTGAATGAAGTTTTTTGCAAAGGCAGGTCTTGTATGGCATTTTGTCCGCAAGGCAGCATGGGTAAAAAAAGCCAGTCTAAGTAATCAGAAATAAGGGGGGGCACACTGAATATTAGACTGTTAGCATGTCAAATCATGGAAATGTAGTCAAAAATGTTCAACCAAGGTACCAAGGTTACACATTGAAAATAAACACTAGTTGCCATGATTGATTGGTTTAAGTTTGGTTTTCTTTCAGGTTAATGCATTTTCTGTGGGTTGTCCTGAACTTTTGCATATGACTATATTGTATTGGTGCAAGGTGTCTGTTACATGTACATGTTTGTAACTAAGCAAAAGCTTGCCCCGAATCACAAGGTACATGTATACCAGTAGCAACAGTGTCTTTAGCACAGAGAATTCAAGTCGCTATATTCACATGAATTTATGAATTAAATGAACTGCCCCTAAGGTATTGAACTCTTTTTCACATCTTTAGTCCCCTAAAATAAATGTTGCCTGTCTAGAGCTGTCGTGGGTTCACAATTTAACGTAATATAGTGGTGTCATGTTCGGAACTCTTTCCACAGTAACAGCAGTCTTACAAGTAGAACTTATCAATGGACACTTCTTAACAAATCTTGAAAAAGCAGTTAAAGACTGAAACAACATGCCAAATACTTAAAAGTAGAACCAAGGAACGGGGGTCCTAAAAGTAACGATTACCACCATACCATTTTAAGTTCCAAGGAGAGGGAACATTTTGTTTGTCCCCATATTTCACAATGACATATTAAAAGCAGTTATGAAGAGCTAATTACATTGAAGCCCCTAAAAGTTCTGCTTCGAGTTACACCTGGCATATGAGAACAAGGTTGGTAGGTTGAAAATTTTTGCCCTTTTTTGGGAGTAATTGCAGAAGTACCCCGCCACTCTAAAAAATGACCCCCGGAATGACTGTTTACATGGGTACAAGGTGAAAATCCCCTGAGAAGAGTGTGACACTTTGACCTGTACCTGGGGTTGACCATATGGGGTGGCGGGGTATTCTGCAATTGAGCTCTTTTTTGAACAGATTCAGTGTGCAGTTAAAAATAGCTTCAGCAAGAGGGGTAGGGTGGCATTTGTTTCAAATGAAATGAACAACACTTTATAGGGAACTAGTTGCACGTAAATTAGTCTGTTGAACCTTTTGGCACATTCAGACTGCAATAGATTTTTTTTTCACATCTTTATTTCCAATTTCACAGTTTTCCCAACCCCACAAGAAAATTAGAGTTGTGCCCTCAAAATAAGATGGGTCGAGGAAGAGACAGAATAACAATTATTTTGTGGCCCAATTTTCATAATTCCGCTTGTATTATTATAATTAAACATGAACACCTGGTCAAAACATTTGAATTGATAAACACTCTCTGCAACAGTGAGGTTTTTGACAGTTTTGTAATTTCCTCAACCTACATGTACTAGTCATTTTGTTAATCCTGTAATTTCAGCCAGTGACAGTGCTGCACATGTTTAAATAGAAAACAAACTCATGAATGGTTCAGCTCCTTTCACTAAGCAAACATCCTGAAGCACTGACCAAACACTATGGGGTGCTAAGCGTTTCTGTAAGCGGTGCTTAGTGGCTCCTGGGTAGTGTCCGGTATGTTCACACGCTTTCATTATTTGATCGTAAAAGGGCTGTGCCCACAGTAGCACCTCTAAAGGGTAAACAGACCGTAAATTTGTTACAGCTGTAATGCTGTTGTTAGGGAGGGAAGTACCGCTTTCAGTGGTAGCCAGGCAACTGCACTTGAACTTTGGTAAATGCACTCGAGAACAGATGCCGTTTTAATGGAAATATTTCATTGCACCTAACTAAGTGCCAGAACATGCGTCGATTAAAAAAAATCAGTTGAAGTAGAGTTTACTTACAAACTCTGCAAATGTTTGTTGATTTGTTTGAGCTTTTCTATATTCAAGTGCACCCACTTTCAGGTTACCCAGTGTGGTTGGAAGCCAACAATCCTCATTTTGGGCTGTGAAAATTAGGCTCATTTCAAGCTGCTTATTTCCTTGAAAATCTTTCAATGTGATGACAGTGATCCTAGTCTAAAATTCAAGAAATTATTATATCATGGTAGTGGCTTGAGGGTGCTGTAAATACCTCTGTTAGTTTTCCTCTTTTCTCAGCTGAGCTCAGACAGCAAATCTCTAAATGCAAAAAGATGTGTACATTTGTTTACCCTTGTGTTATTGGGTTTTACAAGGTAGAAAAAATTTCTACATGTAGGTGCAGATAGCAGATTGTAAAGGAGAATTTGGTTTAGCCTTAACAAGGTGTTTGAATTCATGCATTTGCATACGCATAATGTCAGTGTTCCTTGTGTGCTTAGACTAATGTTGTAATTGAGACCATCCCAAGACCATTTACAAGACTACAGACATAAATGTATGGACCGCTGGTCTTGCACGTAAAACCATGAAATTTTGAAAAGTACGGGCAAACAATGGGCCAAGCAACGGATGGCAGCACGTTCAGTGTGCATTACGCGCAACGCACTTACATTGCCTGTATTTGTTTACATGTTCTTCTAAAATATGTTCACTTTTTTGTTCTTCGGTACTGCTATCTCTTCTTTTCAAATGTTGCAACTGCATTGTTTCAGATCCCCAAAAGGCCAGATTAAGTAAGAAGAGAATTTTTTTTACAATCGAAAAATAGCTTCGTACAATTTCATGGCTGAAATTCTTCGACTGTGCGTAAATTCCCTATACTGAGGGGTGAATTTGCCCATAGTTTTGATTTTAGTTGGGTGCCGTGGAGATCATGAAAACCCCCTGTAGTTTTGAACAGGGTTTGGCAGTCTGTGCGTTTATATGTCTGTGCACAAGACCATGCTTACCAGTACAAGACCAGTCACAAATAAATGTGTGAACAGGGACAAGTGAATGGTTTTGTAATGTTGCAGTTCATTTGAATAGCTTGTGGCTTGAATTCAGACTGGAGGCCTTGTGTTGGTCTTGTGATGGTCTTGTGGGGTCTTGTAAATTAAGAGGTCTCGACTCCAAAACTGGCTCGGACATTGACTCAGCTTATCTTCTGACCACACTCAGATTTCCATTCCCAGCTCGGAGTGAACAGGTAAAGATTGCACCTTTGCCTGGGGCTTTGCCCCTCTACTTGGCCATCTCAGAGGGACCGTGTTGGTGGCTGATGTCTTTTTTGATACTGCTTTTTAGTTGTTTGTGTCACCTTGTACAAGTAACCAAGTACGGCTACATTTTCATGAAGGCTGTTTTGGATCTGAAATGCTTGGGTGGGGGGTTGCACAGTGTTTGTGTGGTTCAAGTGTGGGTCCAATTAGCCCAAATTGGACACCGTCTACATTGCATTGGGCCTAATGTCCAGGGAATAAAAGTCCTCCAACAATGCCATTCTTTCAAGTGTAAATGAAGACAATGTCCAACCTGGGCTAGGGTCTGCAAGGACATGCTGTGCACTATCATTATGGGGAACCGTAGTGCCTCAGTAGCAAAAGATTAAGGTGCAACTTGGAGGAAAATATGAGCAATTGGCGAGCGGTACCAGCCCTTACAATGCCTTAACAGGTGACACACAGCAACCTCTTCATTCATTCTTTGTTACCCTTTTTTTCCCCCTGCCATATTTGCTTTGTCCTCTGTTGCACTCAGGGCTCTACAGAGTGCCCCCTATACAGCATTGATTGGTGTGGTGGTGGACGCCAGACAGCCTGCGAGGGTGAGTTCTCTGTTTGATATGAAGGACTGGGTCAGAAGAACCAGGCTCCCACTGGAAATAGCACATGGACCCATAGAAGCCCGTTGCATGTGGGGGCCGAGTTCATCGATTTCCTTCATTACTTCTAGCCGCGGCTATGTAAATTCCACCACTGGATACTTGTGACCATTGCTGCAGGGACAAGCTCATATTTCATGTAAACAAGTTGGACTACAGACTACCCTCAGAGATGAAACCCCGGTTTGACCACATGAAAGTGGGAGATGCCCGGCAGACCCATGAATGTGAAGTCAACATTCATGGAATTTGTTTATTTCCGAAGATTAAATTTTTGTTGAAACTGGCCATTCCATTCAGTGCTGGTAGCACTGATCTCACGTGGGTAAATAAGCCCCTCCCCAAGAAAAGCCCAGAAGATCACACCCCAAAAATCACCCCCCTCAAATCCTTACAAAACACAGTATTAAAACAGTGGTATAACCCAAGTATAAAAGTTACAACATATTAATATTTGTTAAAAACTTAAATTGATTAAATATAAATAAAATTGTAAAAAATTCATATGAATCAATCAATTTGTTCATTCAGTCAGTCTGTCAATCAGTAAGCTACAATCAATTAGTAAAAATGAGAGGAACCTTTAACACTTTCCACCGTATATACATAAATGTCAATTTCCATTGGAATGCCAACTGACTGACACATTTTAAACAACAAAGTGCTCATTTTGCTCTTTCTTATGCAGACTGAAACAAAATCTGCAAATCCGACCACAAGACTTGTTTTGTTGAATCTGATGACGTCATTAGCCTTTCCTTTTCTTCTTTTTGTCTTCAAAACCACAGCAGTTGTTTTTGATCAAGGTGTCTGAATGTCTCCCAGTTTTTAACTTTCCTCAGTTTACAAAGCCATGGTTAGAACTTGAGTAATGGCATTCATTGTTATCATCAATCAATCTCTCCCTCTGCAGCATTCTGCATCTCCCCGTTATCGGATCCGTTGTCAGGTGGGCGGGACCAATCGCTGGAGGTTGCCAGAGTCGCTAGGAGGGGATCTTTTGGGTACAGCTCAGGCTATCAAGTCCCTCAACGAGCCTTACAATGAGAGCATGGTGGCTGTTATGACCGGTGAGTTGGGAATCTAAGATTGATTATTTGTACTTTAATCAGCCACGTGTACATGAGAACCCACTTCTAAAATCAATATTTTGAAGTGGCTTTTAATTGTAATTCATAAATCCCTCGGTTCATCCCTTCCTGTGTGTCAAGAGCTCATTCATTGGTTGGTTTTAAATGGCTGAAAAAACCACAAAGAGGTTTCAAATCTTCCTGTTTTATTGACTAAATCTCATATGTGATAGTTAATATAATCTGCTAATATGATCTGATATGAAATGGTTAGGTTTCAATATGGTTTTACAGCTGAGAACCCAGCGACAAGTGTTAACAGCGACCCCGAGAAGCCATATCAGTTCCCGAGCAAAGACAGCAGCAATCGTCCCCACACAACCCTGGACGCGAGGACCAGCAACCACTGGGTGGATCGTCAGGGGTCACCGGAGCCAAAACCCCCAGGCACGGCACCATGCAGGCTCGGCAGGTACGGGTTTAATGGTAATGTAAATATATTGACCGGCAATGAGGGCAGTAGTGCACATCTATATACCGCCGAGGGACTGTCAAATGCTTTAATAGGGCCGCTTGAGCTCCAGAGGTAGAAGTTAGGGGGAATGGGCCCATGCAGCCATTCACAAGTTAACAGAGCCCAATTTCATGGTGCTGCTGATGAGCACAGGATCTTTACACTATCAGAGGCTTCGGTGTATTTCACATGGCATTTCTAGCCGTAGTTGGGTAATCTAGATGGAGTCTACACAGTGCCTGTCCGTATGTGCTTGTAACACTCATCAAAATTTGCACCACCAGAGGGGGCAATAGTGAAGGTCTAATCAAGGCAATTTTGTGCTCGGTCGGCTCTTGGTATGTGGTGTACATCAGTTAGGGTGCAACTCAAAAAAAAGTTTGGTTTCTCCATCTTTCATTCTATTTTCTTTCTATTTTTAGTCCATCCCCAATCGAGAGGTTTCAGCCACCCTCTGCCCGCTCACCCACGCCGGTTGACATCTTCCACTATCACTCAGCGCCGATACACAGCGTACTCGGACCAGGTCAGGAATTTACTCCCTGTCTAGTGTCTTACATTCCCTCCCTCTGTTGATCTCTGCTTTTCTCAGTATCTTCTGTCAAATATGTCTTGAAGTTAATGTCTGTTTATGTTATGTCTCGTCAACTACGGCATCACTTCCAACGATAGTTTGCAGTGAGTTATTTAAAGATAATTTAGCTGTCCTTTTTTTTGTAGATTTATCAAATAGTGCATACTACTTTTTGCTGCAACGAAATCCCTTAGGGGATATTACATTTGGTGATGCTCAAAATCCTGGCATGGCCTGGGCAGAAACGGGAGTACAGGCAGCCAGGCTCAGGTTGTTCTAGTACGTGAGAATTCACAGCATGGGGAGATATAATATGGCTACTCCCCGGGAAGCAGATGGGGCCAATCCCTGTGGGCTCATTCCACACATTTTCTCAGTAAACTTGTACAAGTATGACCACAGCTCAGGTGAACTGTGCCAGGTGACTTAATATAACAAAGGAAAGTTCTCTACTATACATGTGCACTGCCACTAGTGCAATGGTAAGACATTCGTGATTTTTTTTAATACAGCGCTGCAATAAATCCTCTTTGTGTAAAAGCCGCCACTTTATTTTGTCAGTTTGCTACAAAAGTGTGACACAAAGGCAAACTGAAAGTTTGACTACGTCTTACCAGTGCGTGATAAAGCATTTCTTCACCAGTGTGGAGATTGGCAACTTTTTTCACTGTACGCGTAGTTCAGTGGTGTATTTAACAGGATATATTTAATGGCCTTACCATGGAATATGCCGAACTATTCAATAACGCGTGATTGATGACTTGCCAGTCAGGTGACGTGGATTTATTCATGTGTTGTATTAATGTCTTTTTTTTTTCTGGCTGCCAGACATCCTTCTGCAGTGTCTTGACACCAACTGGGAGCTGCACCGCCCCTACGTCCAGAAGTCGGCCACTCTGACGCAGCTGCTGCGCAAGGCGGAGAGTGCCCCCCACCCGGAGCTGTACTACCGCAACCCCATGTCGGCCACCCTGGACCAGTACATCAACAAGAGCCAGCACTACAGCACCGAGTACCAGGATATCAGCCGCAGTCTGAGCCTGACTGACAGCCCACGCAGCGAAGATGGCGGCCGGGCGGAGAAGGAGAGGAAGGGGATCGGCCACCCGGCCCATGCAGTCCGGGCTCGTACTAACAACATGACCAAGCTGAAATTGAAAGTCCGGGACCCCTTGGTGACCAGAGATGGTAAGAATACCAATGGATGGAGGAAATAAAGCACAAGTGCTCAAAACTCAGTTTCAAGAATACACATGTATACTTGTAGTGCGTATGTTTGCATATTTAGGAACATTTGCCAAATTGTCAAGATGTACTTTTAAACGGGGAGACTTAATTAATTTTAATTAATTTTAATTAAGTACATCTTGTCAGTTGTTTGTGGTACCCGCTGCTACACCTGACCCGGACCAGCCAGCTAACCCTGGCAAGCTCGATGGTCGAGTGGTTAAGACGTCTGCACTAGTAAGCAGGAGGTCGTGAGTGCCACCCGAGTAAGCGTGTGAATTTTTTCACAAGCTCTCGGACAAGCACTGAGTACACAGTGCTAATAAATACATGTCAGGCAGGGGCAAAACCCATTATTAAAATTTGTCAAAATGTTTCGACGCCGCCTCCGACAAAGAACAGAAGGACCTGTTGCTGGTTTAAAATTTTATGACAGTATACTGTAATTGAGGCGCTGAGGCTTTGGGGAAAAGTTTCTTTCATTTTTCTGGTTTCCAGATGGCATTTCCTATCAACACCGCACATAAACCAGCTCAAAAATTAATGAAATAAACTATCCAGGAATGATGTTCTGAAAGATCTGTTGCTGTTTTTCAGGTTTTAATTATAACCACTTTTGTTTTCTGTAAATTTTCTCAGGAAAGGTTCTGAAATGATCAAGGATAAACCAAGAAAATAATTCAAATTTCAAAAATTTCAAAGACAATCAACAGGTTTTGTTACTTTTGCAAAATTCAGTCACGTTTGGGATTGCAGTAGCACTCACAAAAAGTGACCCGTCATCCCTAAGCGGAAATGATGAGGCTTTCTTCTGTTTGTCAGATCGAATTGACAAGAATCATTTTTCACTGGTTTTTATTTCAACATTTCTGATATTTCAGCATTTGCCGTTGCCCTCGGCAACCTCTACCATGAAGACATCGATGTAGAGAAGTGCGATGTGGTTGGAGTGCTGGCATCTGCTCACACTCTGGGCTTCCAGGAGCTGGAAAGAAGGTAGACCAACCCGCTCCAAATAACCATTGCCCCGCGTGCTTACCCAGCCTAAGTTGTATTTTTCACCCAACAGCAGAGCCGATCTCCACCTTATCAAACAGTTGACTACTTTCTCAAATGGTTACAATGGGACAGAATTTTTCCCAGGGAAAGTATTTCAAGATGCACTTGAGAAGCTGATTTCTGTCATAGTCTTTTTTGGGTGTGTTTTTTGTCAAACTAGGTGTGCAGATATCATGCTCAGGAATCTTAGTGCATCAACAGTCTGCAAATACCACCAAGCGGGTTTAAAGGTACTTGACAAACATTTAAATAAAAATTGTCAATGGTTTGTTAATTACTTGATAGTCAGATCAGTACAAGCGGGGAAACAACTTTATGCAATCTAATATTTTAAATCTTGGTTGACAGCGTGCTTCACTTACCCTAAGGCTTAACGGTATTGGAGGATTATCTCATTGAAGTTGATTACTTGGCATTTCCCAAACACATGATGGATTCAGTGGTGTTATCGCAATTGTGTTGTACTATTGTACCAGTGTATTACATATCCCACGGGTGTGAGTGGAATATCAAAATCATTTTCAAGTGAGCTTGATGTGTATTCTCTACTTTTGAATTCAAAGTGGAGTGTGTAGCTCTGAATGGTCTTGCATCAGGAGCATAACATGCTTACCTTTGGGATAGCACAATACAAAGGGTACGATATGGGCCGTGGTAAATGGGTGTATATAGCAAGGCCTATTGCCATGGATCAACTATTGGGAATCATAGCTTCAAATTTGCCTGAAGATAAACACTCTACCAAATAGAACTTTTCCCATCGTTTTTCTCTCACTAGTACAAAGTCGGGCAGGTTGTTAATGCTTGTGAGAGATGGCTAGAGCTCAACCTGATACCTCATGTAAGTTCATACAAATGTATTCTATGATGGAAGAAAATCCAATAAATAGCAACTTAAACATGTGACCTGTTACAACAAAACAAGCTCTAAGTCTCACATCCGCTATTTCTTGTTACGACAGTTTGAAGAATGAAAAATTGAAGGGGAGGTCAGTTTTATAATACGGGGATGAGTAGCCCTCCTATTTAATTCCAAATTTTGAACAGGATCAGATAATTTGAAGTGTCATTTCTTACCAATTTTTGTTGATAGCATTACTTGTGCCTGGTATAGATATATGTTAAAATAGTGTCAGAACCAAAGATGCCAAGTTGCCGGAATGATGTCACATTGTCACCTACTTTTACCCTGAGCTCTTTTTCTGCTGAATTCCAAAAGACCAATATATCAATTTTCACAAATTCTGACTTTCTGCTCATTTTGTGGCAACAGGTCACATATTCCTACAGTCCAAGGTAGAGATATTGCAATGGAGTAATGGTTTCAGTGCTGTGGGGATAGCCGACATACACATGTACATGTACGTGTAGTTTGTAAGCAGCATTCATGTGTACTTAAATGTGAATTGACGGGGCTGTTTTCCCCTTCTTACAGCTTTCAGTGCAAATTCACTTGAGGGACCTACCTCTGGAGTTACTCCAGAAGATTATCAAGTCAAGCAGGTGTGTATGAAGTAAGCTGAGCTGTTTATTGGCGGAAAAAGATCTGTTGATGAAAACACTACCTGGGCACTGCCATGTTGGGGATAGCAAACAAAATTATTGGCAACAAAAAACTGTAAAAAAACGGTTCTATTAAGTGCACGTATGGAGGCCTGATCCCATTGTGAAACAAAAAAGAACTTAGACAGTGGTGGATCCAGCATTTACAAAAAGGACGGGGGGGAGAGCATATTGTAAATGGGGGTGAACCCGAAAAATACAAGCGGAGCATATTTTTAGTGACAGTTTCTGTCTTTTAAGTTATTTAATAACCAGTTGAGAATAAATCAAAATAGTGGGGAAAAGGAAGCCACTTGACCCCCCAAAAGGGGGGGGGGTATGTGTTGGGCACACTCTTCCTGGATCTGCTACTGTTGGATACAATTATTTCTGGTCAATTGTGACCTTGATTGGGGCTGTTGCTGCAACTAGTGGACTTTGCCCTTTTTGCCCTTTGGTTGAGTCTGTTAACCATCTCAAAACCTTCAAGGATTTCTGAGGGAGAGGTTTTCACCCCTTTAGTTCACTGTATTTTCATCCTGGGTCTAGGTTTTTCACCTTCAACGAGTACTACCTGTACAAACTGCTATGTTACTGGATCTTCCTGCAGCAGAACTCCCACCTCCAACTTATGCCCTCACACAGCACCATAGTCACATTCTTCAACAGGTGAGAGGATGGATGTTTGTGGCCGGCACCCGTGACCATTGGAGTAGAGGTTTGAAACAAAAAAGGGACGAGGCACCAGGGATTTTTTTTAAGTAATAGCATACTGTTCTAAAGGTTACAATCTCCTTGTTCTTATCCATATTGATGGAAGGGTTTAACCCACTTGCTGACAACGATAATTTCATAGGGCCTCTCGGTATTTTCCATTTTTATAGTACTTCACAAGTACCCACACTTGGTTCACCAGGAATTAGAAGTCTTTACAAGTAGTCAAATGTGCCCTGGGCTCAGTTTGAGCCACAAGCCATAGTTGTGCATGAAATAACCAAGACATTCTTTTCTCTCGACTGGTGAAAAATTTCTTGAGTACTTGACCGATGTGTGTGTCTGTTCCCAGCCTCAGTAAGACAACGTCCTTTGTGGAACGTGAGCAGGGCCAACAGTATGCCAGCCTCTTCCGCTCCATCCGGCTGGCCGGGGTGACGGACACGCGCCACCTGGACGACATGCTGCGCATGAACGTGGTGCCGCAGCAGTGGATCCTGAAGACGCTCAGCCTGCACTACCATGCGCTGCAAGGTGGCGGGGACATGTCGCTGATGTTGAACTTTGGCAACGATGCCATCCGGACTGGCTTCATCATCCAGCAGGTAGCAAATGGGGATTCCGTGTCCAGCCCACTGCCAAATATTTCCGTGAAGCATTTATATTTCAACTTTTGTGTATTGTCCTGTATTAAGCCATCTGTCCTGAATTGCTTACATATGATTCCATACTAGCACAAATTTGTTTTGAAGCCTCGTGAATAAAAGCCTTCATCACAGAAAAAGTATCTTAGTCTGTGAAAATGGCTTTAAATATGCTGTCTTAAGAAACACTTGTTAGTTCGTGTTGCCGAGTATAAAATGAGTAGTCTTTAACAGCAGTGTTCAAAATTCATGGCAGAGCAAATGTTTCTGAAATAGCCTGCTATTTTATATCAGTCTGGTATGCGCCAGCAATTGTTTCTTCAAAATGTGTAATTATTTCTAGGACCCTCTCCAATCAGTTCTTATGATAAGGCACAAAAACTCAAGATGTCTTCTTTATAAAAGTTTGATCCTGTACCTACCAAGTAAAGCCGCCATGTCTCAAATATATTGAACTTTCTATTTGAAAGTGCTGCAATCTGGTTCATCTGAAAAATATCTCAGCTATGTTTTGCACCGTATTTTAGGAGCCAAGATACCACAGTGAAGTGGTATCCATCCACGGTTTCCACTTTGAGCTGAAGGCTCATCGGCAAGGAAAGAACTCCACATATCAGTTCTACATGCAGGTAATGACAGGCTTGCTTATTGACAGGAAACACCTCACCGTGCCTTTAAACATGTTAAGCTGTAGTTTAAGGAAAAATACTTTTTTTGTTACCTTGGCTCATTGCATGTTGCTGAAGTCACAAGGCAACTTGTGTGGTTTGTGCAGTTGTGGTATCTGGCCGTTCATTTTGCACCAAAATGGATGCTTTATATTGCTTCAGTGTTAACTGTTTACTCCACCTACCCGCAGGGGTTCTAGAAATAAAAATCAAAACAAAACAATGAGTTTTTAACCACCGATGTTTCGACGTTCTCACATCTCCAAAGAGAGAAGCAGTAGACCAAGTAATAGCAGAAAGAGTGTGCTAACTGTTGTTGAGAATAATCGTTGTTAAGCGCAGTAAATATTTCCCTGAAAGTGAACACAAATGTGAAAATTTTGACATCAGTTCAAGTACGTGTGCTTGAAATTCACCAAAGTTGAACACACTTCCACTGAAGTGAATTTTGCTGCAAAGGTTTTATTGATCACTTTGGCGTTCTCCTGAAGTATGAACTGGCATTTCTGTTGGCAAATGCCAATGCAGTCTTTCTGCCAGTCCTTGCAGTGACTGTATTGTGCATGAATGCTCTGTTGTCGGAAAGGCTGTGCGAAGAGATCCACTTCCACTTCAATTGGGCGGCCATAAAATTGAGCGCATACCACCTTTGGCCATTTTGTTTTTTACGTTGCATCATACTCCTATTGTACTCCCGCAGCGCCTGAAGCCCCACGACCCTACCCTCTCTTTCCGCATCTGCGAGCGCCAGACCTTCTCCCTGCGGCAGGACCGGGAGGTGCTTTACAGCATCCGCATCCAGTGCCAGCTTCCGGGCCAGGACTACGTGTACAGCACGGGGGTGCTGAGCAAGAAGTTTGGCCTGGGCTCCAAGACCAGCCGCAGTGAGGTGCTGTCCCTGGAGGGCCTCTGCCTCCCGATCTACGTCACCTTCGGCATCCTGTTCCCTCCATCCTAGAATCCCAGATCGGGTATCTCCCATTCCCACTAGTGTACCTTTAAGGAGCAGGAGGATTTGAATTGCTTGTTGACTGGTCGTATTTTAGCAGCTCACAGGGGCTTGTTGAGGAGTAAAACAAGCCACTGTAGGCCGCTTGCTCAAAGGAAAGACGTAAGGCACATGTCAATATTCATCCCCTGCTTGCCTTAACAATGCTAGCTTCAGTTCCTACCTCTAGGTAGGCAAGACGATATTTGCCAACCATCCCTAAACTTCTAGCATTGTAACATCATTACATTTTGTGTTGCTTAGAAACCAAACATTTTTCAGTTTTTCAAATTATGTTCCTGGATAAATATATCTTATGTTCTAAAAGACGACACTGTTGTATTATTTTGATATAAAGAAATTGCTTCTTTATATAATAATAATAATAAGTTTTTATTCACCAATCCTTACTTTTAACTTGTACATTAGGAAGACAGTTTCCATGTGTTTCTTTTTCAATGCATGATGAGTAAAAACATTTATCTAAATAAAATACCTGGATAGGTGTAATTACTATCTCAAGATAACTTAAACATATCCATCTTGCACGGAGGTAAATGTTTCAACACAATACTTACAATGTGCTTTAATGTGCAAAGTAATGAATGTTCCTAGACAGTCAAAACTTGTCTTTGATTACTTGCATTTTTGGCATGGGCTGTTGTTTAAGACACAGTCTATTTTGAGAGAATGGAAGAATTACATGTTGATCTAGTATACTTGTATGGAACAAACATTTCTAAATGCTGTGATTAACTGTGTACACTTGATAAATACTTGTGGAAGGTTTCATTAACTTCTTGAAACATTGGAATTTTTTATACAAAGTAAGGTTGCTGTTTGTAAGTTTTTGGTTTTGCTCCATACATTGAAATTTTGGACTTTTAATAAGATACATAATATAAGTAACATTCGGGAGAAAACATTTCAACATAGTTTGATTGATTATTATGTATGATAAACATATTTTTGTGTGTTCTAGCTGCCCTATAGAACACTTAGTCTCTGTATATTTTGGTGATTTTGGTAAGGACCTGGGCTGTAAACTGCTGCATACATAAACCATTCCGTTGATTAATAACGTTAATTTTCTCATATTTATCTTCTTTATATTCCGATGTGCATTATTTTCATACTTTCTCGGCTTCATAAGTTCATTGACATTGATAGAAGCGTTAGTAAAGTACTTTGAATATGACATTCGAACAAAAAGTCCAATGAAAAGGTTATAAAACATTTGGCTAGTAATTTGGTTGATGAATAGTAACGCCGACAATAAAGTGAAACGGGTTTGTATTAAAATTGCGTGAACAACGGAGGTTATAAAAGACGCTGTGTGAATTTGATTCTTTCACTGATAGTTATGATTTATTGGGAAGCACATAAATAGACACTGCTACAACTGGGTCATCAACAGTCTGTTAAACCTTATATCAATTGAGTTTTCAGTCCCTGCCTGCGCCTGATTCCTTTATTTTATCCAGAGTATTTTATCTTGAGCCCCCCCACCGCATCTAAAACTGAACATTCCTTCATTGCCTTCTCCACTACGGTCACTATGAAGAACAGTTCATTGATATGTTATGAGGGGCCATTATAGATTTCCGATGTTTTCAAATTTTGGGGGTTTTTTTGCGAAATTGTTTTGACCCATCCACTCTTTAAACAAAATGATATTGAAATTAAAAACATCAAAATTTGGAATGGCCCCTAAATGACAGGGCTACTCTGGTTAAATGAAGAGGGTCAAATAAATGTCCCTGTGTACGTGTGTATGTGGTGTCGTCAATCTAAAAAGTAAGTTGTACGGTGATCTCCTAAGAAAAGGCAAGTAATCCGAGAAGTTTGATCCCATTGCCCTAGAACATTTTCGGACACTTAATCACTATGTGTGGGAATCGTAAAGGAAAAGACTATTTGAATTATTTCTTGACTACAGTCTTTTTTTTGGAAGCCCCCAATAACCGTGCGTGAGACAGATGCGACTCTGTTTTAAGCAAAGATTGTATAGCGCCGCACAATCTTTGGTTTTAAGTTCCGATCCACGCGACATCTACATATCACCATAGAGCAAAGTTTTATGAAATCCAGTATTATGATTGGCTAGAAGTTTACTTTCATTTTGTGACGTCAGAAGAATCGGCCAAGATGTCAAAGGTCACAGAACAACAACAAAAGTTAAATTCCAGGCAGGATCTCGACGGTAGGGAAATTAAACTTGTCAAGCTGAGGTTAGCCGGAGTATTTGGCAGTGTTAACCCGTTCCCACCGGGTGTAAGTGATGGATAGTGGGAATGGAAGGAAACCGGATGCTCAGCAAGAAACAACGAAAGGTGTAAATGGACGGAAGAGACCGAACGCATCGGTAGGAGCCAAAAGCAGCACCAGCAGTAGCGGCACCGACGTTGACACTGCCATTTTGTTGGCAAGGGCCGTCCATCTACGCGGGTCATTAACAACAGCAGACAGGCCGCGGCCTGCCACCGGTATCGAAAGGGGAAGCAACGTTGGGTCACACTCGCACCATTTTGTTGGGTATGTGCGCATTACATGTGGAATGACAACGATCAAACTTGTGGAGTCCGTAATTTAATTTCCAGCTTGTTTAACGTTGGTTTAATAAAGTGACTTGAAGTTAAAGTTAAAGACTAAGCATAGGCTTACAAGCTTTAGGGCCTGGGCCTGATTATAAAACTTTAAAGAAAACACAATGTGTTTTTATTGTTGGATGGTTGCCTATGCTGTTGTGTGCACTGAATTAGCCAAATTATCAAACACATTGTACAATGAGCCAGATATTTTTGAGTTTGCTGTGCTTTCTTAAATTTGGTAATGAAAAGCTGGTTCTTCCCGGGTGCAGCCAAAAGGATGATGATTAGAATGCTCAAACACCCATTTGTATGAGGTAATGGTTCGTGTTGTCTGTTTCATTCATTGATAAGTTTTCCGTTGATTCAATAATTACACGTACATGTATATGTTATAAGCAGGAAAACTGATGTAGGCCTAATATGATTTTCAGCAATTGAATTATTGGGGAGTATTGACTTAGGCTAACGTACTAATGCTTTGAGCTTGCAGTTTGATTTGTCAGTGGGTGCTTAGTAATTTCATTGAGGTATAGGCAGTTTAAACAACTGCATATATCTGCTTTTATTGACATAAACAAATTGTCACCATTTTCATAAAGAGACAAAAGTCTCGCTAGGAGTTAAAAGTAGTTTTTGAGAAAATCACATGTGGAGTTGATCTCTTTTTAAAACACTTATTTTCCTGGTACTTCTTTTGGTTAACCAATTATGCTACTTCCTGAAAATTTTCTTAAATTCTAACTGACACAAAACTACAAAACAATATTTATAGAAATCAATTAAATTTATTTAATTCGTAAACAAACTCTTTTGTCTGTCCATGAAAACACTAAAATTTGTGTTACCTTTGTCTCTTTGTGAAAAAGGTAAAACAAGTTTTGCCCATGGTTTTGCTTTTTATTGCTAACGCAACACCTATGGAAGACAACTATGACTCTTTGCTATGTTTGCCATATGGGAGATTGCCATGATTTGGCTAATTTCAGTAGATTTGGTAAAAAATGATTACACCAAGTTGAAGGCATATACATACATGTAGCCTAGTTGATTTTGCCAAAAAAAAAGAAGAAATGTGAAAAAATCATGATTTTAGGCCACTCTGTCTCTTCATGAAAATCATGACGATATGTACATTTTTCTGTAAGGTCAAGAAAGCAAGCAGCTTATGCAGATTCTGGGTATGTGAGGCCACATCATAGTCGTGCAGATGTAAACATTTCACAACAGGCAATTAATACTGAGATTGATGATGAGCATATGCCAAAAGGTAAGCATTACTTTTTATAGAGTACCGAAGTGTGACGTCACTGTGAACCAGAAATGCAGTGCAACTGAATGGAGTACGCATGCGTGTTGGTTCACGACTGGTTCTCGCACTAATGCCTTTTACACACTTATTGTGCATGTGACGTATTCACTTCGGTACTCCATAGGGGATACACTGTTAAGGTTGTTGCTGAAATTGAAATAACATTGTGAAATGGTAGTAATACATGTAATTGCAATACTTGCCTGTAGCAGGTGCATTTTACCCATGCCATCTTTGGTTAAGAGAAACGATTCTAGAAAACTGTCTTGCCTGAGGACACAATTGCCATGTTCCGTCTACTAGAGAAAAATCTGTCAGTGCACTAGAGAAGTAAAATGCAGTAACTGTAGGATCATTTAGCATCTTAAAAAGAATCCTGATATACATGTACAATGTTTTGTGCAGGAGATTTGTCAACTGTTGAATCCAGCAAGTCTGACACAGAGCTCCTTAGTACCCAGGAGGCAGAAGTGGTACAAGATGACAGTGTAACAAGGCTGAGTGGCTTACTGGTCAATGCAGTAACTCTTGCATCAGGTATTAGCTTAGTTGATCTTAGCAGCTGTGATAGGCCTAGGGCATGACTCTGCATAGACTCCACTCCATATCCCAATACTCTCACAGTTGACTAAAAACCGTCCCCTACAGGTGTGTCACCCGCAGCTATGCTTACAAGTCCAAACAGACAGTAACACACGACTTTCACTTTAAATGTTACAGCTGGTGAAATGCTTCATCAGTCCAAGTCCAGCAATCCAACTTTTGTTTCCCACCTCAACAAGTGCAACTCATCATCCAAGACATACGAAAGTGGTCTGGCTGACCTGGATGTAAGTCCAGAGGCCAAAGGACACAGGTCAAATGGGGACATCACCACTCACAGGTCGGCTTACAGCATTGAGGACGAGAGAGGGGCTGGATTAACAGAGGGCAAAAGGTACAATACTAGTAGCCTGTCTATATTGACCTGGAGCTGCACATGCCTCACAATTGTACAGTAGGAGTAAATTAGGATGCTTCTTTGGCAGGTCTAGCCACAGCATGTTAGGGCGGATCAAGGTTCTAACCAGCTGCCTGAGCAGCTCAGATGAGGGGTGGAGTCGGGAGGACATGACCGCCTCCTCTGAGGATTCCTCCGCAAAGCGGCGGCTCTCGTCCAAGATCACCAAGAAGAAGATGAAAAAGAAAAAGAAGGAGAACGGCGGGGAAGATGTCGAGAAACGCAATGCGGAGGAGAAGAGCAGCAGTGAGTCAGAGGTTGGGATCAAAATAATTGAGGCAACAGCCTTAGAGATGGTAGACGAGGCAGCAGTTGAGAAGGAGGTTGAGAAGAAACCCAAAGATGCTGTGGTGGAAGCCACAGACCACATGGAGATATCCAGAGGACCAGAAATCTCTGAAAAAGGTTTGAGAAAAAAATGCAGTCAGAAAGTAACCAGACCTCCCTTGTGGTTTCCTGAGGAAAATTCTCCACGTCATTTTGCTCGATTTACAATCTAGATCACATTCTTAATGGTTTGTGCTGTTGTGTTTCAGTTGTCTGCTCATCCTTTGCAGAGTTTTCATCGGACCTGGACTAATGGCCTTGAAAATAAGAGAAATTATGAAGCCTGAGGTCAAATTACAACACAACATGGTGTCACAACACGGTGTGCCGTTTTACATAGTGTAAATTTAAGCAGAGCATTTACTGTGGATGGCTCTTTGGCTTGAAATCTTGCAGTATTTTTAATCAAATTCCACGGCACAGATTTCATTTCATATTTGTCACAGAACTACCCGAGTTAACACCACCTGATGTGCTCAAGGAAATAAAACAGAAAGGTGACAAAGAGGCCCCTTCAAGTCCTCAGTCTGATAGAGTCAACGAGCAGGCACAGTGTCATGAAAAGATGGTTGTGGCTCCTCAACACTCTGGATCCAGTATTGAGCTCCTGCATGATGACAATAAGGATGTTGAAGGTGGAGAACAAGTGTTGTCTGCCATCGTGACTCCAGGCAAGACGTCTCTAACCATTGCCAAGCCAGCAATCTCTGGTGAAACCAAAACTCCATCCAAGCGAAGCCTACAACGTGGGAGTGACACCAATCAAGTCCATGTTACCCACCACGGAAGTGCTCCTGTGCAGGTGCTGAAACAGGCTGACGAAGAGGACATGAAATCCCAGCCAGAGATTGCCCTGAAAGCTGTTAAGGAGCGCTACAGGGTCCTGAGCGAGCAGATCAGTGACGCCATCCCCGGCGTGTCCATCGATGAGAAGGTCCGGCTGGCAGTTCTTGGCTCTCTGTCCTACGCTGCCAAGAGCGGTGACCGACCCGAGACAGGGAGGAGGGTTGCGAGTGCCCCTGGTCCACTGGAGAACATGGCCCAGCATCTGGCTGAAGAGTTCGCCCAGGAACAAGCCGAGTCGGGCATTGCCAGCTTTGAGGGCACTTACTGTGATGAGTCCTCCAACCACTACCATGGGAGTATCAAAGGGAAGAAAGACTCAAGATCAAGTAGTGACAGTGCCAAAGATCTCTCCACATCAGCACAAGACCGTTCAGCAGACGTGACAACGTCATCTGACAGCAGTCAGGACGACTATATCCAAAAGATGCGAGCAGCTCAGAGATTGATAAACAGTCACCATAAAACCACCCCAACTCCCCAACAGCTTCCTTCCATGGTGGTAAATGTAGATGGTAACACAAAAGCAGCCGGTGACCTGCTAGACAGCGTATATGACCCTGGCTTAATGCTTATCAGGAACGATGATGACAGAGACATCAAGAAGGGTAATCTGGGTGACATCAGCCCATCAACGGTTTCCTCTGGCTATGGTAGTGCTTTCCAAGCCAAGCTCGCCGATCTGGAAGCCAATCTCAACATGAGTGTGGGCCTTGGGAAACCTTATAAGGTGGACGTACCCATAGAGGAGGATTCAATGGTAATTAACTTCTGCAGTTTTTGTTAGAAGGAAATTAGCAGCGCCACAAAATCTTGCAAACTTCTGGCAAAATCATTGTTGGAGGATTCACAACTCCAATCATTCGTTAACTAACTGCAAAATCAGGGCATACTTTGTCAATCAATAATTGACACTTAATAAAATAACTGCAAGTGCAGTCTTAATCCCTGTGCAATAGATGGTGTTTAAAAATGAACCACAAAAGAAATGCTCATCCCTTCCTCTTTGTCTATCAATACAATTTCCAACTTCCTCCCTTATACTCTTTAGGAATCTTCGGTATATCAGCTCTTTCCTATCATGCTGAGTGGTTATAACAGCCCATGACCTTCCTCAATTCTGTTCTTCGTCTTGTTTTTGTTATTTTAAATCAAGTTCCTTTGTGCTTTCATTCACAATGATGCCGTGAGCCCAATTTAATGACCCAGCAAAGTGTGTAACAAAATACCATGGGGTATTGGACAAACCAAATATATAGAGGTATAAGGCTCCCTTAGTTTGGTTATATTTCGTATTGTCTTCCCCACAATCCTGACATCAGAGGAAGAAGGAATTGGGCTACATCCTGAAGATGTTAGAGAAGGAGGGAGGAGGGCAGGGCCCAGACAGTCATAGGGATCCAGCCCTCCTGGAGTCGGCTGTCAACTATTTGTACTGGAGCCGGCACGATGCTCAGGACCTGCTGAGGAAACCCCAGCAGCATCAGAAGGTTTGTAGGCCAATCCCGTCTTGCAGAAGCACTGAATGCGGTGCCTCGTATCTTGGAGTGCTGAGGGCATCTCCCCTGCAGCACACTTCTTGCTCTAAATGGGAATACATGTGCATGTGTGCCATTTGAACCAGGATCAGATGTGCATGCATGCTTGTGGCTGTGTTTGTATCTAGTGGCTGTGACTTGGAGTAGCACGTGAGTCAGTGGGATGTGGCTGCAGCCACTAGCCAGTGGCTAAGCATAGACACAATCGAGATTGATTCCATTCAGACATGGCCTCATTTGTAGCACAGCGCGTTGTTGCTACAGACTCACTGAAAACTGTTCTTACCTGCTCTGAGTGGGAACAAGAGAGGGCATAATTTTATATGAGCACGTTGTAGTCCTTTACACTGAACTTTCAACACCATGAAAATGCTGTTTCATCATGAACTTCCCCATGAAATTTTTCCTTTTCATGGTGCAAAGTACTGGTAGGTCAACTGGGCAAAGGACTATGCATTTTCACGGTTTCAAGGATTGACAACGTTTTCAACCACAAAGTTAATAAGACAGACTCCGGGTAGCCTGGATGGGCTAACTGCATTTTCATGGTGTTTTCACTTGGCCTCAAGGTGACTGCAAAGGGATCACAGTGAGCGTCATTTTCACAGGGTTTTCACCAGGAGAACGGCCTTGAAGTCACCGTGAAAAAAATTTCACCGTGTAAACTGCAAATTCACTGTAAATTAACAGTGTTGAAATTCATAGTGTTAATGGAAACCCACCTGTAGCACACACTGATTCAAGTGCATTTAAAGTAGGATGCACTAAGCACGCACGACCAGATTCTTTTAAAAATGTAAGGTTTTAGTGTGCCTGGCTGGTGCATGCATAAGCTGGCTCAATAACCTTCCTACCAGGTTGGCCTCTTCTTTGTCGATGAGGATGCACCTCTGCTCAGAGTGGATTAGGGAATGTGCCTATTTTGTTCCAGGGGGATCTGTTGTGGTGGGAACATTCCAAGTTCAGACATGTTCTGGAAACTTTTGGGCTGACGGTTGTTGAACATTCCAATTTCAAAAACTTTCCAACATCTTTAGGTATTAAACTCGAACAAATTTGTGTACAAGTACAGAGATGGTCAACAGGTTTTTTTCCCTGACAGAGGGAAAAAATATGTATGCTTGAATGGAAGCTGTATGTCGGTCACTGTCTAATAGATCCTGTTTCAGTTGCAATACACACTCTATTTCTGGTGTCCAATTACACATGTAGGTAGTGATCGAAGACCAGTTAGAGGCCCAGAATCTACAACTTGACCTGCCGCCTTACAGGTAGCAAATGAGATTACACCTATACTTGTGTTTATACAGTGTCCTTTTTTACCAGTCCCCTTGTGCAGCAAGTACAGCGATTTGCTGTGGAAACTACAGTTAAAGGCCTATAGAATTAGATTGTGCGTTGGCTCGGAATTTGCTGCTGTTAATTCAGCCTCACAATTGTGATGTGTTTTTATTGGAAGAATAATCTTGTTCCAAATTATGATCCACACTCCATGGTAGAGTTAATTTTAGCTGAATAGGGAATTCAGTGAGATTTGTTGATTAAAACTTAAGTGGGATTATTTTGTTTGTGTAGTGCTGTCAAGGGCAGTGAGACACTTGAACGTCTTAAGGCTGAGCTGGAGCACAAACTGAAACATGTGGAAGATGCCATTTCCCAAAACCAAGGTCTGCCTTAAATTTTATGATTCTGAATGTTATCATTTCCAGTTTAATAGTGTTTGTTGATTTATTGGAAATTTGCAAAATCTTCTGTCTTAGATTTAGGGATAATCGGACGGACTCTCTTCAGTTTCACTTATCTTTTATTTGACTTGTAATTTGTAAGGCTGACAATCCGGTACTGCAGTGACCTCGCAGTGACATCATTGGTACAACGATGTCACTGTGGTACCAGCGTCACTGTGGCCCTTTACATTTGTTTCAAGAGGGAACCTGAATCAGTGTATGCTTGAACCCAAGTCACCCTTGTAAGAGTGGCTTTTACTCTTCGCAGAGTCCGAGGCAGCTCAGGTAGCTGCGGACCTTGCCAAAACAGAACCCCGGCCCAAAACACTAGAAGATATACGGAGCTCACTGACTGCACAAGAGGTAAAGGCCTAATAGCAGTTTGTAGCATCACAGAAGGAACATGCTATTTTAGAGCAATTGGTTTTTGCTTTTTCTTTTTCAGTCTAGGAGGTATTGTGACTGAGGTGGGTTTTTTTTAATTGGGGGGGGGGACATGTTCATGTACATGACAGTTAATATTTTAAAGGTAGAGCCACAGCATTTCCATATTTTTCAATTTCTGAAAATTCAACATTGTGCCTGATGTGAAGCATTACCTGGAGTTAAAAAATAAAAAAACAGCCATGGACCCAGAAAAAAGCTATGTCTGGTTGGGTTGGTTAAGTGGACGTCAATCCACAGTTATAGTCTTTTCAGCAAAGGCTTTGCCCAGTCCCCGGCTTTGCTGTAAATTTACACTGCTACACAAAACTTGCTTTTCACTGAACTGTTCTGCAGAAAGTAGAGAGAGAAGTCTTGCTTTCAGCAAAATCATGAGAGGTTTAGAGCCTTTAGGAACCAATTGCATTATCACTGTATGGGTTTCACATCAGCAGGTCAGAAAGGATGGCACTGTCCAACCGCCCATCAGCAAACCAGTGAACCTGGCCCTGCCCAACACCGACACCCAGTATTCCTCATCCTCTTCTTCCACGGAGGATAGCCGGCCACCCAGCAGCTTCCACTACAACCGGTCGGTGGCCCTGATGTCACCGGGGGGTGCTCTAGGGAGCAGCGTCCTCTTAGAGGAGTGCGAGAGTGCCAGGAGGGTGCGTCGCGAGATGGAGGAGAGGATCGCTGAGCTGGAGAGGGGGAAAGAGGAGATGGCCGCTCAGATGAAGGTAGCCAGAATGAAACACATTGTACAAACATGATCTACTCTTTACAGGAACAGTAGGGGCTGTCCATGAAGTACAGGTTTTGGGGGCTGACATTAGGTGCTTTCTCACCTTTTATACCTGCTGCAACACGTTTTTTTTCCATCATGCCACTGGTCCATAGCCCTGCATACAGGGAAGGATGGGGGTCGAAAAGTTGGCATTTTGTGCATGTGTACTTATGGCCCCCAGCTATTACTTGTGTGATTGTCTTGAGAGCTCCAGTGTAAGGGATGTGCTGCATATCCTCACTGGTTTGTGAGCATGTGGCACGGATCATGCACGCACTTTTCGTCAGAATGGTGAAAATGACACTTTTGTTGGGCATTCTGATAAACTAAGTGGATCATGTCATGACTGATCTTTAAAAAAATCCACACTGACAAGTCGCGTCATTTGGTATTGATTTGGGTGTGCATTATTGTCTCAGGAACGGCGCTTGACTTCGGTCCAGCTAGAAGCTCATCTCTTCAGTCAGCTGACCACACTGACACAGGAGTATCAGAATCTCATGGCCCATGACCAGGAACATAAGCAGCTGTCTAAGGAATTGAAGTTGCAGTTGGATAGGAAACAGAAAGGTTGGCTGTTGTCTTACTCACTGCTGGTATTATGCCATTTTCCCCAACTCCAATTCAGCCGTCAATCTGACTGCTCTTTGACAAATGCTTCCCTTCAGAACTGGAAGAGGCTCTGACACATACCACCCAGGAAGGCACTGACTCCCAACAACTCCAGGACAAACTCGACGCTGTCACCTTTGAGTCCAAGGAGAAGATTCACCAGCTCATCGTCCAGCTGACCCTTGCCCAGCAAGAGAAAGCCAGGCTGCAGAAGAGCCTGCAACAGGAGGCGGTGCGGCAGGAAGCTGTTCGCGAAAATGCCAAGAAGAGAGCAGAAGAGGCTAGGAGAGAGAAGGACACCTTGATTGAGGAGCTGAATCAAGAGAGAAAGTACGGCTTGTCTTCAGCCTGAGCCCATCAGGGGAGAATTCTAAATCTCACTTATAGCATACGTGGCACTGGTGTCTTGCCATTGATTTGTTTGGCCACACTGCAAAATACACTGAGACGGTTTTGTGGCAATGGGTTTTGTAACCTTGCATCCTGTCCAGGGCCCCATTTCATGGCACTGTTGAACACTGATCTGAACACCAAAGTTGCATTTACTATAGCAGAAAATAATGCTGCTGAAGCAATATTTGATGGCTTGAATGTAAGAACACTTTCACACAGACAGAGAGTTCAGCGACTGTTTCCTCCAGGGTTCAGCAGGCTTTGGCTATGCCTTCTGCATAATTGTCTCTGTGAAACAGACGAAGGCAAGATGAGCACAAAATCAGCTTACAGACTGTAAGCTGATTTTGTAAGTTACAGTGCTGTGAAATTATGGCCAAAGTTGTCAGAGCTGCCGAGTGGAAACATTACAAGCATTAGCAGATATTCAAGCACAAAAATCAGCTTAGAAGTTACAAAAGCCAGACATGATGCACGAACCTTGACATTTTTGCATTAACTATTGTTACATTTTGTACCCTACTGGTATTTGTTTTAGTTTAGCAAATACTTTTTTGTGATAAGGAGCTTTAAAAATTGGTTGGCCCTTACACATGCTTTCATCAGCATTAGGGTTATGGGGGTTAATCTTTAAAAACAGACTCACTGTAAACAGGCTAAAAATACTTGAAGACTTGCAGGCACAAGTAAATGGGTTCTTTGAATGTAGACATTCCCCCCCCCCCACATTTGGCAGCAATCGCACCCAGCTGGATGCTGAGCTCCTGTCCCACGCTAGGGACCTGCACCAGCTGGCTGCCTCCCTGCAAGATCTGCAGGTGGAAAACCGCAGCCAGGCCGGCGAGGTGCGGCGCCTGCACGGCGCACTGGAGCAGTCCATCCAGGACCGGGCTGAGCTGCAGCAGGAGCTGAAGGAGGCCCAGCAAAGGCTGGAAGCCAAGGAGGAGCAGTGGAAGAGGCAGAAGCAGCAGCTGATTGACCACTTGAGCGAGGTTTTTTGTTTGTTTTTTTGTTTATTTATTTCCTTTCATACATTCAAACATATACACTTATTTTCAGGCAAACTTGAATTCTCAATGCTGGTTGGTCGATCCATGGCAACAAACATATGTCAAACCCCATGTGATGCGCTATTCTAACTCATTGCGCTATTTTCACGCAGAAAGCAAAATACACAACGGCAAAATCTACTGTCAATTCAAACGTAGCACGTTTGCGCACATAGGTCACTTTAACATCTTTACCGTACATGTACGTCAATTTTGCTTGAAGATAAATTCTTTATCATGCTCGCGCTTGTGGAACACAGAATAATAATGTGCGTCAGTGTTCCCTACACCACAAGGCCCGTGTTCCACTCGCGCTTGTGAGATGACAAAGAACGTAACCAGTACAGTGCCATACCTGTGGTGTGTAACGATAATCCACAATACAGAGAGAGGACTAGTATGAATGAGGGTGTCATCCAGAGGATTACCCTTCTGTAATAGGAGTACCCAGGTGCATTGAGGGGAGGGGGGCACATCCATAGAGAGCTACATGTATACCTCCCTCATTCCCAGTACGGAAAAACTACGATGTCTGATTCTGACCTCAGACAATGTGAAGTCATGTGCATGGTTGCAGAACGTAATGAAATGAGACTGAATGAATTCTGTGCAATTTACTCTAAATGCTTGCACAAGTACAAGTACACAACATGCATGAATAACATGTAACAGCGTTTTTTAATATCATTAGCATGATATTAAAAAACCTCCGCAAAATTCCCCAGTCGCACATTTGCGTTTCCGTTCACGCAGAGCATTCCTTTGCTGATTTTGGATTTTTTTTTCTGGCGTATCCAGCTTTGATTACACATCATTTTAGCATATAGACACAGATATGCAAATACCTGTACAAAAGTCGTGCAAAAGTGTGAGTCTTCCACAGGTTTGTGAAGACAAGCTGGCTTCACTTTCCACAAGCTATAGTAATTGAATAGAGCCCTATGGGTGCACCGGACCCATCTCTCTGACAACAGACATGTTTTTACATTCCTCAACCATCTTTCCTGATTGAGAGATTGGAGGACATCAGGGTCCATAGCTGCCTGGAATGTTTGTGGAAAATAATGAAAGGCAGTATTTTAGGCCTCTTTCATTTCCCCTCCATTTAACATTTACTAAATGCACAGTATTTAGCAACACCCCTTAAAAAAGCTGTAAAAGGTTTAATCAAAAATTCCAAATTTTGCCCTCCCCCGCCTCAAGAAAAAAAGAAGGAATCATTTTTTAGGATTTTTAGAAAGACAGAATGAAAGGGTGACTATAGAAGAGATCTCTCTAAACTATTCCAATTTGACACACCTCGATTAACAACACTACTTTGATTCAATTCTGTTAAATTGGACAAATAGGTTCAGGGAATCCAAGTAATGTAAGGATCAACAAAAGATTGCTAGAATGACAGTCCCTCTCACTATGACTTTTGTCCAATGCAGATTACATTTCATCCAAAAAATGCATAGTTGTGAGTGACCCAAATACTAGGTTCCTGAGCTGAACATGCTACACATGATTTAGCGCGCTGCTGATTGTTTGTTCTTGTGCCCTGTGATTGTATTCATTCACTTGTCCAACGCAAATTCCGCCATCAATTTGCGTCAAACCCACAGACCAAGGCGTGCCTAGAGAAGCACCAGCTGCACCTGAAGACGCTGAGCCACGCCAACGGCACGCTGTCAGGCTCCGCCGCCCAGCTGCGGGACAGTTACCAGGCCCTGAGCTGCCAGCTCCACGAGGAGCGTCTGGCTAAGGAGAGGGCCAGCCAGGAGGCGGAAAGGGTCCGTGAGGAGCTGGAGGCAGAGAGAAAGAAGAGGGTGAGATAAGACGATGACGGAGAAATCCGAGATGGCCTGATTTTGTCCAAAAAAGTTTTGTCATTTGAAGTAATTGATGTTTGAAGGCCCAAGTATCATTTAAAGCAACAATGTTATAAATGTCAGTATAACAAACTGCTTTCGGGGCCCTTTTTGGTGGGGGGGGTGGGGGAGACTAAACTTTCAGGATTTTTTTAAAATGGCATTTGCATGTTTGGGGGCTTTTTACAATCTGTCTGAATGGAGGAAAATAAATTAGCCCCCCAAACTTGTCTTCGCTTTATTTTCATAAGCCCCCAAATCTGCCTCTTGTTGTAAGGGGTGACCTTTGGCTTTTCCCTGGATCTGTGTGACACTTTGAAGGGATAGGATAGATTAGGAGAGTTTCTTTCTTTGAGGCAAGATAGGATAGAGGCCATGGCCTCTGAAAGCAATTGTTTCATCCATCCGTCTTACTATAAAAGCCCACTAATTTTTTTCAGAAAAATAAGAAAAATGCCAGATTTTCAAATACAACTTTTTTTGTATAAAATCTGTTAGTTAGTATTCAGAAACTGCTTATAGAGAGGTTATTGGAGTGTACCTCCCTCCAACAAAATAAGATGTGCCCTTAAAAAAGTTTTATCTAGAAATGTGCCTGTTGTGAGCACTTAAAATATTGAAAGAATCCTGCATATTTCCACACTGAATCAATATTTGGTTGCATCAGTAAATGCATTGATTTTGCTCAACCGTTTGTTTTGCAGGAAGAGCTTGTCAGTTCCCAGTTATCTCAGTGGCATCGGAATTTGCAGACCAGCACCAAAAATCTGTCAGCTGCTCTTCAGAACAAAATGTGAGTTCCAAATACCTTGAATAGAAGAAATTTTCAAAGGAATCCCAGCAAGGCATGCAGTGCTGTCTCCTCTGTAACCAGCAAAGCATTATTTTACCAGTTGGTCTTGCTTGATCAGAAGTTGTAGTCGCACATTTGTATAGTTTGTGTTATCAATATTCAAGAGTTATATAATTGTCCCCAACAAAGATTAAGGCAAGGGTCAAGTATTGTTTATTACATCTGCTGGTATCGGCATTCTTGGGTCACTGGATGAATCAACAGTCCTGATGCAGTAATGCATGATATTACATCACCCGCATGGGCCATTTTTGTGCAACCAACACATGGTTGCCTTTATTGAACTCCAAGCTGAATCTGCTGTTTATTCCACGAATATAGAATGGCATGATACTTAACTTACTGACTGTACTGTACTTCTTTGCTGCAATGCAATCAGACATCGTCAACAACAGGAGTTGCAGTGGCTGAGAGTGACCAACACAGAACTCACTGCCGACCTCCCTAGCAATATCAGGTGAATGTACATTCCTGGCTTCCTGTCCCTTGAGTGGAGTTTTGATTTAAAAAAAAAAACAGAGAAGTGTGTTGCAGTAAGGTATTGTAAGCGGTCTGCAAGTTGAGACTGTTATTTCCTGTTTTATGACTTGCTAAATTACCAGTAGTTTTCACTATCTTTGCCAGTTTTACTTGCTGTGGCCATTCACGAATTCAGCACTTCTTAGAAGTGAACATTTCGTTTCATTTTCATGATCAAATAAACCATAAATGAAACTGGGTGCATGTAATTTGATCAACCATTTGGTTGTGAAATTGCTTTTCACCATACGTTCTTGAGCTGAACTGTGGTATTGTTACACCGGTTGCTAGCAAGACACGCCACAAATCTAATTTCAGAAGTTGGCGACTTTATCTCTTTTTCCTGAATTCTTGAATTGTCTTAATTCATTTTCCAACAAACACTCCAGACTTTCCGAGGGTGTTGGTGGACAGTGTGACCTGCTACATGAGGTGAGCACATCAGGAGCCTGTCATGATCAGCATCAGTCGCACCATCAGCACCGCGTAGGTTCAAACAGTGGGGGCAGCATTTGGACGGAGCCTTGCCAATGCTGCCACGACTGCCACAGGCATCACAGACAATGCTGAGTGTGCACTCAACTCCCCATCAACACAATTCCCCATCAACACAACTCCCCATCAACACAACTCCCCATCAACACAACTCCCCATCAACACACCTCTCCATCAAGGAGTCAAAATATTTACAATGGTCAGGAATACCAAGTGTGTCGTCAGTAAAATATTGGGTATTTTATTTCAAGGAATCATTAAGTGAGAATATCCAATTTGCATTTATAATTATTACAGCTATTATATAGCATTAACATGAATGGGCACCTGCTGGTCTCCTCGGAAAAAAATCCAGTCAAAATATTTCACTCAGTCAAGATAACTGATACACATATCAGTCGCTTAATATGATTCGAAAAAGAAATGCCACATCTTCATGGCAAAATCGAATTCCACAAGAAATGTAATGAAGAAGTCAAAACTCTTTTCCGTAAGAAACTCGCTTAAAATTCCCTTAACTTTATGAAATATTGCAAAATCTTGCTTGAACTCAGCACATGCTTCTTGAAACTTCATGCATATTATCAGTAACTGATAATGCTTTGCTTGATCATGTAAAAGAAAAATTAGGAGCCATACACCATTCAGAAATTAACTACGTACTTGTCAAAAAAAAAATGAAAAAAATGCAAACCGAGTTCTGTGTCAAAGATGTGTCATTAAATTTGGAATTCTGATGAAAATGGGCATTATGTGGGTCAAAACCATTGAAAATTTCCATTGATTTCCACTGCATAAGATTCTTTTGAAGGCCTTTACCCCAAAAGGGCAGCTCTGGTAACTTCACGCTCATTTTATTAGGGTGGGTTACATGGACTTCTTACCAATGATACCAACAGATGTGTGCAAAGAAATCAATATTCAGGCTCCATCACGCCATCAATGATTTCACCTGCTACGAGTGCAACGTACGTATCCCCCTTGTGGTGGTGCAGTCGATGTCATCCCATATTTAGTCACGAGTCACAATTCCCCAATGTGGTCACAAGGCATGGGATGAACAAAGCTATACCTTGACTTGAGACTAGATTATCATGGGCAAGTACGATCAAGGACCATAGTTAACCAGAGTTTGACTAATGATCGAACGCATTCTAGTTGATGATGGTTGGACTAGGCTAGTCAACTATTTGCAACCAGCCTATTGGTTGCCGTAAACCGTTTTTAATAGCACAGTGCAGCGAGGACCAGTCACAAGAAAAATGCTCAAAAAAATGTCACTAGTTGACGACCATTTCCACTTTTATTTTTGCTGTTTTACCCTTCCTGCGGTCACCTTTTCTCCCTTTTGGCCTAATGACCTGACAACAGTTGACTAGGGCCGTTCACATTTTCAACTTCACTGCACATGAGCCAGGTATGGCACCAACCAACCACAAAGTAACTAGTGGCCCTTGATTAAGCTTGCCTCATGATGTGACAGATTTGTAAAGACTTAATTAGGACCTTGTGAGGTCTAGTCATAACCTCGACTCCGAACGACATGGTTCTCGTTTTACAAAGTAGCAGGTTTTTAAATCCAGTGTCAGTACACCCCTTAGCCATGCTAAATATAAATCAGTCATAATATCTACAGATTACGGTAAACTATATCAAGTTGTCCAATGCTCCATATTCATGTCAGTAGAAAAATATTGTACAAATTATGCCAACTTTAAAACACAACAATCAACGACTTCATTGACAAATCTTTTTACAAGTGACTCAAGAGTATATATAAAAAAAACCTTGTTGCATCATTAATTTTACCGAGACACACTCAACCAGAGAACAGCGACACGTAAATGAAAGCTATCTGACCTACTAATCAGTTTCAGCATCCACCAGAAAACCTTAAGTGACTGAACTAGTGGGCACCTGTTTCACAGTTTCAAATCTTAAAGCAAACACTTTTTGACAAGCATTTTCAGACATAGCTGTCCCTCATTTTAAAGAGCACCTAAAAGGAAAACGCATTTTTTTCTGATTTTATCTGTTCAAATAATGCGGAAGCATCCAAATTGAATGCACGATGCAGATTCTGACTCATAGTTGAGATCTGAAGACAAGTGATACTGCATTCGATTTGGATGCATTGATATTTATCTGAACAGATAAAATCAGAGAAAGCGTGTTTTCCTTAGAGGTGCTCTTCAAGTATCTAGTGGTGATGCAAAAGGAAAATCTGGACCGCACAAAACCAACATTAGTTTTTAAAATTATATAAGTACTGTTCACAGTTGAGTACAATTTTCCCAGTATTAGGATTAGTGCAACAGAAAACAATCTCTTTTTTTCCTTTATAAAGACCTTTTCTGTTTTGCACTTGTTCTCAGCTTCTTGAAAATTTTAAAGACTCAAACTTTCTTTACAGAAAGGCTTACCTGGGTGTTAATTTTACCTCCATTTGTGACCCTCCTGCACATGTCAGGCCCCTCCTTGTGCATGCTGAATCTGCCACTGGTCCAGAAACTCAATCAGAAGCTTGCTTCCCTTATCTGGATCTACATTTGCTATTGTTGCACACACATGAGCATACATTCCACTTTCTTTGTCTTCTTCCCTCATGAAACGCAGGCAGGCATAACTGTAACTTCGTAATTTATTATCTGCCTCATTCATAAACATTTTGCTATTGTGCATTGCTGACGTACGTGTACATGTAACTGCAGTCGACGTACATGTACATGTACATGTACTTTTTATCCTCAATTCTACCAATGACTGAAGGTAAGTTTGAAATAGATCACTGTTATACACAGATCAGTATTAGTATTAGTCTTATGGTAGAAAAAGCGAGCAAACAGATTCAACATCATTATTGATTGCAATATAGAACTGACATTTTATACGCCAATACAAAAATGGCGAGGCTGATGCCAAATCCCAAAACAATGGATTAACATAAAAGTAAAATCAACAGGCCTCACTAACAAACACAAACCTGATTAGGAACAGGACACCTGTCTCTTCAGTTTGTGGCAATTTTCAATCATGCTGCACTCCTAGTACACGTCTTACAAACAGATCAACTAGCATGGCCTTGTGTAGAAAGGACACATGATCTGGCGCCGCAGTTGACGGGACTACACACATGTTCAATGATAGTTATTACAGGGTAAACTTCTATGTGTGTGGACACATTTTTGGTCTCCACAATAAATTCGCCCCGAATGTTCAGACAAAAGAAATGATCCCCTAGACACAGGTTACGGCCACAGCAGGTCTCTCTGTGCCAAATATGGAAGGTGTACTTTACACCCTAAAATTGTGGGAAACATCCCAAAACAAAAAATCTGACTACGCTACCTTATAACTTAACAGGATAAACATAGCTTGTGGACCTTTAACAGAAAAAAAATCACTGTTAAGATGGGTTGCGCAGAACTACATACATGTTCCAGTGTACGTGAATACGATTCCAACTTTAACATAGGACTAAACTTATGCACAAGACAATTTCAATAGGCCATCGGAGGAATGCAAATGAATATCCGTTTAGGTGACACAGAACAGATTCTAATTGCCTCTCAAATGTCGGCTTCTCTGCTCAAGTCGAGGTTCCAAAATTACACTTTCCCATTATATATGTAATCTCATACTCCTTCACACTACCAGACTACTGGAAAATTCAATACAAGTAGAATTTTCCAAAAATCAATAGTAAATGAATAAATTTTCTCCATATATACATTTACATATATGTGCATAAAGAGTGACTGTTTATATTCGTCTGAAACCTATCAAAAAATTAAATATTTACATGAGATATATTTAGAATGGAAGACATTTGATTTACATCAATTTAGAAAACAAGAGTAAGACCTCTTGGAAAAAAAAATCTCAACAGTTTCTCGCAGGACAGCAATCATGAATATTCAGCACAAATCATTCCCCTTCGAGGGTAGTCTGAGAACTGCAACTCAACCTGTCAGTTGGTAAATGACGGTTGGCTGCAGTTTAGACAAACTACTTTTGGTCTTCATTAGCAACATACAGTATGCCACTTTGTGGAAAGGGTGACGAACTGCATTCAACTCAAAATTCCATAAGCATGCAGTGTTCTGCCCTTTACAGATGCAATTTTCTGCAAACACTATCTTCCCGGAGCTATGTGAGAGTTCTTCAACGGAAAAAAACAATTCCCAAGCTTACATGGATGAGAGTCGAACCCACTACTACCTGCCTACTGAAGTCTAGACCCAGATGATGTGCAGTTCCATGAATTTTGTTTTTACTGCGGCTGATGTAAATTAAGTTAATTTGCCATCTGCTTTAAGTTGTCAGAGTGGGCCCTAAAAAACATGCATGCTGTCGTGTCTGCCTAATTTTTCCTTTTGACGATGCAATGACCCAAAATGTCAAAAATAAACCCCAAAACAGAGACCAGAAAACCCACCTGACTATATGAAAAACACCAATTTGAAAAACCAGTTCATCATCAGAATGTTAGAGTCGCCTCAACAAGGCTCTTCTCTCAAAACATTTTCTGAGTTTTGGATGCCATTTTATTCAAATTTTTTAGTCGTATGATGTCATCAACTGTCTGCATCTCAACATCTTGCATGCTGACTGATTGTTACAATATAGAAGCTAGGCATTAGTACAGCCATGACAAGGAAAAACCAATTTTAAAATGTACATATTCCTGCACACAAAAAAAACCTCTTGTGATTTGCACTTGATTTGTTTCTGAAATCTGGACTGCACATAAGAGTAGCACTGGCGAGAAAAAAAATCCTTACCAGACACAGTAGCGGAGTCCATCACAAGTCCCTTCACAACCCTGTTCACAAGTCAAGGGACAAAGGCTTTCACCAAACCAGTCACAGGGAACAGGGCGAATAATAACAAAGGAATGCTTTTGTCCCTGTTCATTTGAATAGCTTGGGCTTTGCTTCAGACTGAATGACTTGTGACGGTTTTGTAGGGGCTTATGCTGGACTCCTCTACAACGACATTACCAGAATGACAGCATCCAAAGATCTTTAATTACATGTACGTTGTATAAATACGAAGTGCTGCTCCTCTTGATTAAAATCCATGGGCCATGACGTGAAGCCCAGCCTGCAATACATGCCGGTGATGAGGCACGTACATGGGCCTCTTCCATTGTTTTTAGCTGGGCAATCACATCTTCAGTTGATTCAGTGGTACGAGATCAAGACATCTAGTGTTGAATGGATGAAGCGTCAGTGATTCAAGTTGATCAGGTTTGCAGTCCCCTGCCATCAAACACTGGCACGTACGTGAATTACACATTTTGTGACCTTTGGGACCTGCGTTTCTCAAACAACACATACCGTCAACATATTCCGTTGGAAATAAGTAATGTGCTGCCAACCAGGCTCCTGTGCGTCAGCCGTGCATGTTACAGTGTGCTGCTTGCTGGCTGCGGTGGCGTGGCGTTGACACGTAAACTTGTGCGCTCCGTCACGTCTGCTCTCAAGATGGCATTGCATATGGGACAAGTATTGCGCAATCTCAACCACTTAGAGATACATCTGTAAGTGGGAAAGTTAAGAAAATTGGACATGAAAAAAGCTCTGTGAGCAGGATGAAGCAACTCTTCAAGGTAGAATTGTTGTTACTTCATTTAAATGAGCAAGTTTCTCCGAATAGCTTAAGGTGTTAGGTAGAATTCGGTATTGAGCACATGGTGAAAAAGTTGTCTCCGAAATAAGACACAACAGAGGGATCCCAATACGACGTTTTTAGCGTCGATCTGCGCACTTCCGGTTTGAAAACGAGGCTGTATGTGTCAGCTTCAATTCTTAATACGATCAGACATTTGAAAGTAAAGAGTCAAGACACAAAATACATAAAGGTATGTGAAATTCCGACTTTTCAGGCTGCAAATTTTTGTGGAAGATTCTTTCAGGATGACTCGACACGTAAAATCAAAAGAAAAAATGACGACAATTGACCGCGCACTAACGTACTTGCGATGGTCGTGTATCTTGTGCAGTGGGCGTGGTTTAAACTGAAGGGGTGTCACACTTGAGAACGGGATAGTGCATGTACTGTGTGGACTCTGCGGGCGCGCACGACGAAGTTCATCACAGAGAGCCTTGGTTTCGATGCAGATATGCACAGACGGCGCTAATGTGAAATCCCTCTACTGCAGATGTGGTCGTATGTGTGGCAAACACTTTGAGAGTATGGGTGTGATGTACTGTTGTGCGCTACTAGTAGCGCATAACAAGCACGTGTGATGTTCATGTTCCAAAATGTCTAAGGGGTGTGGCTAACTCGCAAATGAAGATAGGTCAATTTGCTGGTCAACCTTGGGCAGAATACCTGCTTAGTGTTGGTACTTACACAACGTGGAAGACGTGCTGGCAGGCACACTGACCTATCTTGGTGCCTTCCTCAAATTCCTCTAGACAGACTGAGCATGTCTGTGTGGCAGAGAAAAAACCCAGAGTCCACTGTTCAATTAATATCATTGCTCATGATCAGGATGCAAGTTGAGTAATTTAGTTGGAGTCTTGTGATATTTCAACGTTACTCTCTTTTTCAAAATCTTGGCATTGTCTCCAGTTTGAGATCAAGAAGGCAGAATCCTTACTTTGAGGGGCTTTGGTTCAACACTGGTCCATCTTTCTTTCATGTATCTTTCTTTCTACAGGAATATTATGCTACCACAGAGAATCGTTTTGGCTGCCTTACATATTTCAAAGATTTCTGGTATTCTGCAGCGGCAAAAAAAATGGCCTGGGTTCGAAATTAACATGTGCAGTATGATTGCAAGCTCAGAACAGAATCCCATTTATTACTTACGCATGAAATGATTGCTATGATGCCAATGAGCATTCCAGCATACAATGTGCCCTTGCATTTTGCCTCCAGCCACTTACTCAATGCCCCACAAAGTCTTGCATGGAAAGGAGAACCATGCCACGATTCTACTTACTCAACCAAAACCAGCATGCTTTGTAAAGTAATAATCCCCATGTGAGTGAAAGTTGAGACTAAAATGCTAGATGCTTACATCAAATTTGGCACCAATCTTCTTCTTTGTGTAACTCACCTGACAAAACAAAAACAAGGTAACTGAGTAGAGGCAAAGCCATTTAAATCTTCAGCCATTTTAAAATTAGGCTCATGACATCGTTTAGCATTATGGTCCAAATTTTAACAACAGTCACACTGTAGGAAAAATTTCACATCTGCAGTAAGATTTGTTGCAAAACCCTGGGCATTACATACAAGACTTTCTACAGTGATGCTGAGGCACCTCAGACAATAAGTAATGTAGTGTAGTTCATCAGAAGTCCTCAAAGTTTGTCACAAGTTTTGCTCCAAGCGTTGCTTGTAACTACAGCCTGTGATTTTAGTTTGTGACAGACTTGTGGACTAAACAATGAGATTCATACCATTGCATTTGAGCTGTGTGAATGAAGTCTTTGAGCATACGTGTATGACAAACAACTTACTGTCTTAAATCCAGTGTCAACCCTTCCAGATCTTTTCAGCCTTTAAAAAACAAACAATATATAAAAGGTGTTATGTAATGGGATAAGATGCTCAATGTAAGACGTACATGTACACAATTTAGCAATGTTATGCCCACCTATGGCACTACTCCAAAGTATAGTTGGGACAGTCTCAACTGTAGTGCTGTTGTTGGGCTGGCCAAAATAAAGTCAGCAAGTTTCGATAGAAAACTTAAAGAGAGGGCTTGCGGTAACACCATGTGGATACAATAGATCTCTTTTGGAAGAGGTATAGTTCTGATCAGAACCGTTGAGTGTGTACTTGACGTTTCAACCAGTGTGCTCTGGTCGTCCTGGGGAGTAGAGATAGGAACTTTTTCAATGTTCTATGAGTTTCTGTGGCTCACACCCAACAGAATTTAGTCAAATTATACGTACGTATGCCAATTAACATGGCATGTCATCTGTAACACATGTAAAAGCCAGATTCCGCCGGCAAAAACAAAATAATGTTGGCACATGTTATCGCACACAGCACTCAATAGCTGAGCTGGCCCAACTGTAGAGCTATAGTTGGGACCATTCCAAGGGCAGACGCTATACTTGGAGCATGATTACACCCTCAATGAGGATAGCTGAAAAAGAAAGACGCTGTACATTGTATGTATACGCTCCCTGGCAAGATGGTAAGGTTTGTACATGTACAATAGGATGTGCTTTTGCAAAGTGAAAATAACCACTTCACATAAAGACAGCAACATCTGTGTGGCCATATACCCAACAAACCCAAGTCAATGGGAACTTCAATGGGGAGCTACATGTATGTACAGGCTTTTAATGACCAAATTCCATACCACTACAATATGAGAACCAACTCTTTTTCAAGAGCTCTAGGCCTTGTGATAACCAAATCACAAGAGAACACCATGATAAACACCATGAGAACCAACATTAAACATTTCCAGCAAAGTTGTGCTGTAAAGTGTCCAGTCTTATTCAGCTGCTGAACTGAGTGAAGCGTCACACACCTCACCATGCTCTTTCTCTTATGCGAACCAGTAAACTTAAGAACGGTCTAGAGGTTTTCCTTGCTTACTCTATGGAGCTGGTCCCTTGAAAACCAAATGACACATCAGTAGTTTCGCAAAGTGAACGCCAACCCTTACTTCCCCAATATACAGACTGTCCGAATTCAAGAGCTATGACAAAGTTATCTTTGTTCCAGCTCACCTCAGAAGGTAGCAACAGAAGACCAGGTTGAGCAGAAGGATCAGGCCGGCCACGACCAGAAACGGCAGAACCTGCTCAAAGTTCAGCGGCAGATTATCACTCATGGTGGCATTTGGCATGTGGGCGACCATTGAGATACTCATCAAAAGTCTGTGGGAATGCCTTTCTAGTCTTCAGTGACAAAAAAAATCAGATATGGAAGGTTTCCATTGGAATATGAAGCCACATTCACATAGGTATCTGCAAAAAACAAGGAGGTAGTACATGTACATATATGAATATACATCAGAAAAATTTATTTTTTACTTATTCACAAGAATGCCATCTTCAAGAATAGCCAGAATGGTATCTTTTTCAAATAATATCTTACATGTACCTTGATATACGTTGTACACCAGGAGAGTATTTTTACTCGCATGCGCCTTCCAACTCTGTAGACAGTAGGGGCCTACTTGAGTGGTTAACTAAGACACAGAGCAGGAGAGGATGGCCAAGTTACCATCACATTCGCAGTGCTTCCTCAATATCGCTTCAATACTCCAAAGCTACTGTACAGTACTGTACGTATGAATCAGCATGCAAGCTAGAACCAGGAAACCAAACGGTGGTCATGGCACATTACAATGTAGGTGGTTTTCGTTTCTACATCAATCCATATTTGGCCACAAAAAACATTGGATATACAGGTCTTCTGATAGCAATTGGGAATAAAAACTTATTGAAAACAACGCCTGCTCACTGATTTCACTCAAGTTGCAAACTACATGTATAGGCTAATGCCAATTACAGAATTTTTGGGGGCATACTCAGATCACGTCATAATGTATTCATACTTGAGCAGTAAGGTTGGGCTGCAGCTGTGCCCATTATTAAGATGTTTGGATAATCCATCCATTATAGAGTAATTATTTGAATACAAAATCTACTATTCAAAGTTGAAAAAACAACGAAATAAAAACAGAAAAAAGTTCAATTATGGGGATATAGAATTACATGTACATTCACGAAGTTTATTGTAAGGTACAACGAGTAATCTTTAAGGAGCTGAACACATGCCCAATTGTGAGGCCAAAAAATACCTTTCCTTCTGAATCCTTCCATTGTTTCTTTACTTTCCGTAAAATCATGTACCGCATATGCATGTATTTGTTTCTACTTTTGTGGGGATTCGGTACAAATGAATATTCAATTGAATGGAAGGTGGAACGAATTTTGATAAGTCGACGCTTGTATGAGTTTCATTCCCTACTTTTTTTTGTTTTTTGTGTCAGATGCAATTTTGTAGTTCTGGGAACTTGGGGAGTTTGTGCAACACATTCCAGGTCCCCCAGTCGAATAAGTGGGGGGGCGGGGGGACAATTGTATGTACAAGGGACCCATATTCATTCCCAAGCTTAGTTCTTTAGGGCCCCCCTCAGTCTTCACTCTCATGTCGAACCATTTGTGTAGATATTATGTACATGTATTTATTTGTGGACACTGTGGAAATGAATAAATGAATCTGCCCATGGTCCATCATGTCCCATGATGATCATCGGTGGTGAACTGAACCATGGAGGTAGAATCATGTGATTCTACCTCCATGACTGAACATGGTGGATAAAAGTAGGCCTAGGCCTATAGGAATCTTCTCGAAATTTTCAAGACCGCGATTTTTGTTGAACTTTAGTTGTCCAGTGACTCACCCAGCAGTCAAGTCATCTGAGGTCACAACAAATATTCCGCATTTGCTTCTCTAACATTAGTAACATCATGAGAAAGTGCATTTACTGATCTTCGCCATGCCTTTGTCCATATCGACGATGTCAGATCTGTGTGTTGACGTGACCTGGCCTACGTCTGATGTGCATGATGCGTGCATTAACAAATTCTGTGCTTGTTGCTGATTGGCACGATTGACGTTTTGTGTAATCCATTCCTAAACTTTACCTAGCATGCTTAGTTGAGTTACCAATCATGCCAAACAAGGATTTTAAATACTTTTTTATTTTTCAGTGCTTCCCCTAATTTCCATCAGAATTATTCTTCTCGAACATAATAAAATTCCTTCTTAGGTGGTTTTGAGCTTGTGATCCTTTTCTGGGCTAAATAAAGGAAACTCATTACACTGCTTTGATTCTGGGAAACTAAATTTGTTTTTGTGAAAGCTATAGCGCTTAACAAAGTACGTGACCTTTAACCTCAGACCTTATTTACAAGAGAATAAATATTTATAATTCATAAAAAGTTTTATTAAGATAAAATGTAGAAAAAAATGAAATTTGTAAATGCTATACTCCTAAAATATTTCTTTCATTATGATATATTTGTTAAAATAATGTATTTTGAAGTAAAAATTGAACAATTTAAAACAAGAAGTTATTATTTTTGGAGAGCCAGTCAAATATTCAGTTCCAGGGATTTCTTTTAATTTAGGTAGGTATTTCTGAAATTTCAGTTTTATTCACTGGATTTAACGGATGGAAGGAAGCAATTTTACCTTCCCAAATTATAATTGAATTACGGAGGAAATATTTATCGTCGTTTTGACCTCGAAGTAGTCAGTATATGAGGGTGATAAATTGGTGAAAAGTGAGTGAATTATTGGTTGACGTCGGGTTTGAGGATCACTTTGACGGCCCGGAAAACCAGGGTATCCCTGCCCAGGGTTCAGCATTGGCGCGCTATCGCACGGTATGAATCGAGGAGCTGGCTCCGCCAATTTTAGATAGCGGAGATACTGTTTTTATTTGTGCCCGGCTGGGCCGTGACAGCTGGGCATTGGGGGTATCTGTGGCATGACTGGGAGGAGATCAAATCTTTAACTTTGGCCGTCGGGTTAGGCCTAGATCTGTAGATTGGGTAGGCGAAACGTTAGTCTCTAATTTTAACTGGCATGAGTTTGTCATGCATGGTTTGTTTTATGTTATTGTTAAGAAGAATGTTTTCGACAGAAATCTCTGACAGCAGTAGAGCTAACACTGCCATTTCCATAATCACCAGTCAGAAATGTCAGAGATGTTTGAAGAATTGAATCATGCCAACCCAAACCTACCACTGCCAGAGACAGAATAGGGCCTAGGGCTCAGCATGTTCAGCATGCAGCATGACCCCAGACATGTCGAGAAACACATTGCAAAGGGGTAAAATTCCCCTTTGCGCCATTTCATGCTGTGTAGAAAAGCTACAAAGTTCACAAATGTCCAAGGGAATCAAATTTTTATTAGATTTACCTGGGAAAGAGTTCTATATATGGACAACACTAATTTTTCCTTATAACATGTAAAATGTTGTAGCAGCTGTCAAAAAGTGATAACCTTCCAAAAAGTGAAATTAGCTGAGAAAATTCTGAAGCATTCACTTAGAATAGAAAACTCTTACGTTTTTCAGACAAGTCTCATAGGTTTGTGCACAGGGGCATCAAGTGTTGTCCGTACATGGAACTCTTTCCATTATTGGTATGACTGTTCACTCTTTGCACAATTTGTTGATCTTCTGCACAATGTGCCAATGTAATTCCACCATCAGCTAATTTTGTCTAATTCTGTCTAATTGGTGGTTGTGGAAAGATTGTTCCAAAACTTGAAGAAACGGGAATAAAATCAGTAATTTGTTAGACAAAAGTTCTAGGATCCACTGATCGTACAGATAGCAAAATGTGATCACACTATCATGTTGACTGACCGATCCTGCCCAACATGGACATTTTGCCGGCATGCAGTCACGCACTGCTTTTTGTTAAAGCAGTGCATGTTTAGCATGTGCCAGCTTAATTTAATTAATAGTTTGCCAGATAAGCACTGAACATGTGGGTTTGAATCTGGCTCAGTCCACATGTGGATTGGGTTTTCAGTCCTTACCTGAATCTGTGGGTTTTTCCGAAATATTTACCTGGGGTTTTCCTCCCACCTTTAAAACTGGACATTTCTTTGTTGTCATCTTCACTCATTATCCATTAATTGGTGCTAAATGCACTGTTGGATGAACAGTTATAAATAAATAAATGTAACACAGCAAAAGAAAAATTTTAGCGATGGAGGTTTCCTGCTGGGATTAGAATCCCCTCATTTTCTCTCGTGCTCCAATGATACACATGCTTTCCATTAGGCAACAAGTCCTACACGATAAAGTGATTTTAATTTAATATCTTTTGTACGCCTACCACGTAGAGCAGACAATGTACTTTTTGGCTAAATGTATTAATAACTGTAGCTGAATGCTGAATCCACAGTCCTTTTTGCCTTCACAAGCTGCTTAACTTTGTTTCCACAGCGCGCCCCAGAAGTGAAAGGCAAGTTTGCCGCCCATGCACAAGCTCCAACAATGGCGGCCAGCTCCTTGCAAATCACACGGCGGGAGGACGGCAGCTACCTGTATGAGTTCACCAGCCACAGCCAGCACATCCTGCAGACGCTCAACGAGTGCCGGCAGTTCCCCCGGCTCTGCGACTGCACGGTGCTGGTGGAGACGCGCACCTTCCACACCCACAAGGCTGTGCTGATCGCCTGCAGCGACTACTTCAAGAGCTACTTCACCACCGTGCCGCCTGAGACGGCCGGCCAGCCCATCGTCCTGGACAACGTCAGCGCCCGCGGCTTCCACCTGCTCCTGGAGTTCGCCTACACGTCCCGTATGTGCCTGACCATGGCTGTCATGGAGGACGTCCTCTCGGTGGCCGTCAACCTCAAGGCGGCATCTGTCCTGGAGGCCTGCTGCGAGTTCCTTAAGTCCCAACTGACCGGGGATAACTGTGTGGACATCATCTCCGTAGCCGAGACGTTTAACCTCACAGAGATCAAACGGCAGGCCAACAGGCTCATGTGTGAGCGACTCATTGAACTGTCACAGACATACAAGAAAGGCAGCGGACCACTGCTTCCCGAGAGTAAAGAGGAACTTGAAAGTATGTTGTCAGTTTTTAAACGACTCTTTTAACACAGATACATGTTTTAACCTGTATGAGCACCTTTAGGTGCCATTTCAAAATTCTTATCATGTAGGTGTCGGACAGAACGGTCCGACTGATACATTTATTATCGGTTGGCTATCAGGTGAAGTGTTCAATTCTAACCGATAAATGCCTTTGCATTACATTAATTCCAAGGCTATGTGGTTTCAGTGGAGCAACACCCTTCCATTATTCACTCAACACAAGTCACTGTTATTATTTACATGTATTTATCGGTTGGATGGCCCTGTGCTATAGTCAACCGATAGGAATTTTGAAATGATGCCTTAGCAGTCACGAATGCTTCTCTTTTTTTCTGATCATTTTAACCTAAGAGTCAGTGTATTTCACAAGCACTCCCTGCCTGTTACATCCTATTCTGCCTCAAAATCATTCCAACACTGCATGGTTTAACAGATGTATAGATTCACGGGAATAACTGACATTGTAACTTTAACCCTAACCCCTAGCCTGCTTTGGCTGGAAACCCTGCCAGACCCTCAGTCTGCATCATTTGTCAAAGTGGCTTGCCTTCCTAGTGTAACAAGATACAACGGTCAACTCTCCCCATAGCCAAACAGCCTGGGAGTGTGTGGTTGCCAGTCACCACAAAATCCAGTGGCATTGTGTAATGGGACTAGCTCCCAGTGTCTCAACGTGGCCAGTTTGTTGGGCTGCTGTTGATTGCCAAGTGTATCAAAGTGCATCAGGCTTGTCACCTGATGGACTGTTCTGCATCTGGCAGGGTTAGGGTTAACATTGAATAATGTGTACATTGCCAGTTTGCTGTGTTCTTTGATCCGATAAAGTATGCAAACGCAGGGTTCCATCAGTCACCATTGTCACCTAAATGGTGAAGACATTGTATTTTCAAATTTTGGTCATAATCAGTTGGCCAGAAGAGTGTATTCAGCATTGCATTACAGAAGTACGTGGCTATAAAAATAAGCATTTAGCTGAAACTTCGGCTACATTGTCCAATTTGTCAGCTTGAGCCTTGCAGTAGAGTGAGGAGATGAAGCGTGAGTTAACTGCATAGACCTGTGCTTGTTACGTAGCACCATCATTCTTTAATGCATGAGCCTGCTACTGCTGGCCCACTCTAAGCCTTCCAGTCTTTCGCCTGCCCCAAATCAGCTCCCTGTGCTGGTTTCGTGCCGATTGTCAGATTTTGCATGGAACTTTGGAATGGGTTCCAGGTAGAAGTGCCCTGAAAGTTTGGGTTTGATACTTCTATTCCTTGATTGATGTTTCTTTTTAAAAAAACCTTGCTGACATTTCAGATCTCATAAGTGCCAATAAGGATGCCCTGGCAGCCTTTGATGTTAACCAGCAAGACCTTCACCAGCAGGAGAGCTGCGACAGTGAGAGTGACGACAATGGTGGCGGTGACGAGACGGACAGCTCTTGCTCAGACACGCCCCCCATGATTGCCGACCGGCTCCGCCCCCGGGTGCAAACACAGCCGCCTAACCTGGACCCAGCCAGGGACCGGACGCTGAAGGTGGAGACAAAGGCCGCACTGAAGAGCCCTGTGCCGCGCTCCCTGCGACAGCTGCCGCCGCGTAGGCGGGGCCGGCCCCGGAAGAACGAGTCGGCGCCCCGCTCCACCCGGCTGCGCAAGAAGCTGCGGGGGGCCACCTTCAGCATCACCAAGGCCCGTAAGGAGTACGTCTGCCGGTTCTGCACCCTCAAGTTCAGCAAGCTGCGGGACCTGCGGCAGCACTACATTACGGAGCACAGCCAGTGTAGCCGGTGCACCAAAGTCTTCCGCACGGACTCGGAGCTCAACCGCCACCTGATATCCCACCAGAAGCGCGACACAGCCCGCGGTCCCCGCCGCTACGTCTGCACGTTCTGTGGCAAGAACTGCGGTTACTCGTCGGCCCTGAAAATCCACGTCCGGACCCACACGGGTGAGAAGCCCTTCAAGTGTGACCTGTGCAGTGCCCGATTCATCCAATCCATCAACCTCAAGCGGCACGTGCTCACAAACCACCAGAAGGACACCCCTTACGAGTGCAAATTCTGCAACAAGAAGTTCAGCGTGTTTGTGTACCTTAAAAGCCACGAGATCACTCACAGCAGCGAGCGGCCGTTCCAGTGTGAGACTTGTGGCGCCATGTTCAAGCGCAAGAGCGACCTTCGCAGCCACAACCGGGTGCACAGCACGGATAAGCCCTTCACCTGCGAGATCTGCCTGGCCAAATTCAAGACCACCAACGATCTCAAGACTCACTCGCTGATCCACAACGACACCAAGCCGCACACCTGCGACAAGTGCGGTGCCAGCTTCAAGCGGACGGGCCACCTGAACCGACACATGATGATCCACAGCAATAACAAGCCCTACCAGTGCGAGACGTGCGGTGCCCAGTTCAACAGGAAGGAGAACCTGCGCAGTCACCAGCGTATCCACAGTGGTGAGCAACCGTACAAGTGCAGCCTGTGTGGAGCTAGCTTCCGCCATCTCAGCAGTATGAAGATACATGAAAAGAATCACTGGAGGTATGTTGAATGCTTTATGTACTCTACTTGATTCCTGCTTTTGTGAGAACAAGACAGTAGCTCCTTATCCAACGCTCAACAGTAGGTCTTGATGATGTCCATATGTAGATGAAACATTTTCTTTCTTGATAAACCTTCCTTAATGTTATGGAAGGAGAAAATATTGGCCCTTGTACTCCCCCCCCAACAAATAATAATGGCCTCAAATTATCCTTGAAATCGCTGCCATCTCATTGTTTTGCAATTACTGATGATTTCAGGAAAGTGACTTTTATCCTGCATGCAGAAACCTGCACAGGTGCATGTATGTATTTCTGGATACTTCAGAAGTTTTTTCCTCAGTGGATACTTTTCTCATAGTAAATCATAAAAAGTTACATATTAGGGTTTCCTGTGTAAATGTGACTGACTGTGATGACTGAACGCAAAAAGTTCAAATAGAAAAGAAACATGGAGTATGACTGAAGTTATAATGTTTGCTTTGCCCCGGACTACTGCAAGAATCTAAAGACAAGGACTTTGATATTGTTGTTTGGAAGCCACAGGATCACCATTTCTTCATCGGTACCCTGTTCCTTTCACTCTACAGCCAGCGGACAGGTGCCCCAGAAAGTACCATCATGAGCCAACATGACGGTGGCTCCTCGCTGCAGCACATCGCCGCCCTGATGGGCTTACAGGCTCTCTCCCTGCCAGCCGGCAGCAACATGCCGGTCAGCCTGCAGGTTAGCACGGACGGCCAGCCAGCCGTAGCCCAGCTGGCCATCCCGCCCGGCCACGCCTCGCCCAACCCCACCCCTCCCCTCCAGTCGCCCAGCCCCCACACCCCGATGAGCCTGCACCCGCAGCCGCACCAGCAGCCACACCAACAGCCACAGCAGCCTTTGCAGCAACAACAGCAGCAGCAGCAGCCGCCCAACCCTGGCCTGCAGCAGCTGCCCCAGTCCACCCTGTCCATGCACCCGCCGCCGACGTGCATCGCCACGCTGACCTCACCAATGCAGTCGCCCATGCCCTTGCCCAACGCAACACGCTCCCCCATGCCCCTGGGGTCCCACCCGCCCCCCTCCCCTCACAACCACATGTCCACCCCGATGTCGCCCGGGGTAAACCATGCCCAGGCCAATCAAGTCCACAGCTTGCAAGCATACATGATGAATACGGCCACCATGCTGTGAAAACTCGCTTTCCACCCACTGTTGTTTGGTAACCCTTCCCCCGAATTTGGTCCATTCTGAATTACCTCCAAAAAAAAGCAGGTCACCTCACTACTGTGTACCGTTTAATCAGCGATTATTGTGCTGTGTAGACTATGCAACAGATTGTCAGGGCACCAGTCAAAAGGGAACATGTGAGTTGGTCTGCAGTGACTAGCGGCAATAGCATACTCAGACTCCACTGTATCTGACCATTTTCTGAAAAGACTTCACGAGACTGCTGTGTGACATTGGGAGGAGTGCACTGCATGATGGGCAGATGGTGCCCTAGTGCCCTCTGAGGAATGTATCCATTTTCAAGGCAAGAGGGCTGGTTTGTGTTGAGCCAAGAAGCCCCATTCATCTTTGGAAGGAGGCACTATCTACAAATAAAATACCTCTCCTTTACAGGTACATACACGTCTTGGGCAAGTTCTTAGAGGTAATTAACCAAGTTTTTTTTTAATTTACATATATATATATTTATTGACTATTTAGAAATCTTTATCTGGTTTAGCATGGAATGAATAAGTTGAAACTCATAAAATGAGCATTCCCAGACCCCAGGTTCAGTGGTTGGTCTGTCAGCATGATAATCTTTTCAACGTGTGAAGGTTTCTTCTTTCAGCTTGCCTGACCCCACCCCCCCCTTAAATAAGCAAAACACACAACTTAGTTGACACCAGGCCTGCGCAAGGTACCAGGGTAAGCCACTGCTTTATTCTGGTTATACCTAGTTGTGCGACTTGTCAGCTTGTTCCCGGTGTTGACGAAACTGGTCACGTGCACTCTTAACGAAGAACTTCCTCATATCCTGCAATATCCTGCAATTTTCAGGATTTTGACGCGAGGCTGTTGCAGCAACCACAGATCAGACTGAGCTGAATAAACGGCTGCTTGAAGTAACAGGGGAAAAAGTGTTAACACCAAGTGGTGGTTGCTACATTAGACTGGTTTTTTTTCTTTTCTTGTTCCCTGTGTTTTTTTTCTTTTTCCCTGTGAAATGGAGAGAGTGTTTCAAAAGCTAGTCGCAGTTACTTGCTGGGAATTTTTTTTCAAACCAAGGTTAACAAGGATTGAAGTGGCCTGGATTTAGAAATGTAAATTTTACTGCGTTGAACCCCTTTACATCCAGTGGGAAAATGTTCCTTCACAACAATTCCGCCGTCCACCCCATTCACCTTTTAGTAACTTGGTTCATACATGTATATCCGAAATGATCTCCCAGGTCGGTAATGGAGGTACATGTATTTGATTTGTGATGTGTGCTTGTGACCTCTTTAATTATGTACAAGGTATTCAAAGCAGCTCGTTTTTGCTTAATACAATTTGGTATTTTTACTACTGCTTCCCTGGTCCAAAAAGAAACACAAAAAGGTTTGAACTCATTCATTTCCCATACAGGTGCTCATTAGATGCAAATTTTGGTTTTGTTTTCAAAATATGCTAATTCTCTTCACGTGTAGGTTGTACATTAATATGTATGACTGTGTTTGCCGACACTGTGGCTCTTGTGAACAAATGTTGCTTTTAGTGTGAGAGAAATTGAACCATGTGTGAAAAAAATAAAACGGAAGCTTGAAAAATTTTTGAGGCGAACAGGGTTTGAGCAGCTTCGTAAGTGCACATAACCTCAGACACCAGACCAGAAGAGACTTGTTCTAAGTTCAATGCACGCTTTTGCCCTAGAATTACTTCATTTCAGAAGACACAGCAAGGGTGAAATTTATACACAGTGCTTAGCCAGCTATACGAAAGAGCATGTACAGCTAAAAGACCTTACAGACAGTATACGCAAGAAATGAGCTCTAGGCAAACAGTGAACTAAACTTTTAAAAGGAAAAGTAAGTCAATAACTTGGGTAGTGATAGGCAAACGTGAAACCAGTCAGGTTTTGATCAGATGAAACTCCATGCGCCAAAGGTGCGTGTCGGAAATTCAGAGACAAGATCAGTAGACTCCTCGTCTGGGCTCCAGAATGAAAATGCAAGCATGATTGTTAATGTTTTTAAAATAATGTAAATTATTAAAGCAATAATTAAACTTGTACATAAACAACTCATTTCACGTTGTATTTTATGTATGGATATGTAAAAAAAAAATCTATATAGTTTCACATTTATTTATTAACACAATACCAGACCGGATTTTCCATTTTTAAAAAAGAGGATTGTTTAAACGCGAATGACTTGTGATAAATTAAATGTGTTGCACCCACCAGCCTTAATATAAGTATGGATCCAATTGCATGCAACTTAATTCTTAATGGTTTGTATATAGAAAAACTAGCAGTGTTATATATACCATGTAAGTAGCAGTGTGAAACTTTTGTGAAGCCCGAAGCGAAGTCGGCCTATTTGGCTTTGTCTGAAAAGGCCGTTTATGGCTGTGGCTCCCAAGTTTACTGGTGATAACACCATGTCCATAGCTATAGTCACAAACTCCTGTCATAGAGTAGCCTAGACACAGTCTTAGTTTCTTTGGCCTGTGCCCACTTGACAGCAGAACAGGGTTCTCAGTGCGAGTATGAATGCCAGATTGTGGCTCAGCTTGGAACATTTTTCGATTGAGTTGTGTTTCCTTCAGGATAGAATGCACTTCCCTTCCTACTTGTTTACATTAGGCGCTGTTGGTCTATCAATCTGCATGATTGCTCAATCTTATTACATTATTTGCCGAGAATTGTGCCATCCGCCAATCGCCTTTCCTGTCTATTTCACTGGCAGAAGATACTTTCAGAAAAAGGGAAGTACAGTAAAGTCAGAGATTTCACAGAAAAGTGACTGTGCTGATCGACCAATAGTGACTAACAGCTACACAAAATGTCCACTCTTTGAATGTCCATCATCATTAGTATTGTCATCAAATGTGTACGCAAACAATGAGCCAAAATCTGTTACCATTAATATCTGCAGAGCATTCTGCAACACTAATGCTGCATTCAAAATCAATCAAATTACGTCCAAATAAAGTATTCGCAGCTCACCTTGGTGGTGTGCTTTTTAAAAGCAGAGGGCAAAACGGTGCTTCAGTGTCCACTGTAAACAGCTAGTGCGTTTAGAGCTTTGCAGAGCACCCAAAATGTTCTAGATGGCAGATTACCTGCCAAGAAATGACTGCGGAGTCTGTTGCAGTTGGGTTGGTTCCCAGGTTGGATCAAAGGCTCTCATTAAATGGACCCAGAGTCCTTGGCATTGAAGAACAACAGTGAAATGGAACCATCCAAAAGTCCAAATGGAACCCATGCCTTTGCCCGATTTGATCGGTAACCTGTCACGTTTAACTACACATTTTTATTTGCTCACCGGCTTATACTGTCTCAAGCTAGGAATGGCTAAGTACAGTGTGTAGTACAAAAAATGTCTGACAAAGTGGTATATTTTAAGTTTGGATTTTTTTTTTTACGTTTAGAGAAAAATTACAACTGTTTAAATAACAGGGTCAGTATCTGCTTTATCATGATGCACACCTATCTGCTGGAACGTTGTATTACATCTGCTTTTCTTATTAAGCCTGAGGTCTAGTCGGATTCTGTTTCAGTACATGCTTCAGTAAATTCTTATTGATTGTCAGATTCAGACTGTCAGCACCTTGTGGTGAATACGACTTCATTCCCCAAAGTCATCGGGACAAGCCATCCTGTCACAAGCTATTAGACTTTCACGACACATCGCCCTCTTATTTCAGTACTTGTGATCTGACCCGACTGTACTTGACTTGCACAGTGGAGGTAGACTTTTATATTTCAAACAGCAGAGAGTGAAATAACACTCGGACAGTGGACATCTTCTGATCACTTGCTGCTATTTGTCCGACCGAAAGTGAATGGGCTTGGACAAAAAGTGCTCAAACAAGCAGTGGCATGTGTGCATCTGAAATAAAAGCAAAGGACAGATCAAAAGCTGATAGTGGCAGACCAAACTTGACCGTGCTTTGACGCTTTGTCCGATCACTTGTTTGCTCTAATTTCATACCCCGCATGGGATGGGCTCAGACTTGGACTAAACACATGCCAATGGCTTTGTCTTTTTTTCCGTTAACAGGTGTGTTACTCCCCAGCCCCCCCCCTGCAGTCTGCCTTTCTTTTATACATAGTCCATGACAGCATTTTACATACACCGACACCAGAGGCTTTGCAGGTCACATTAAAACCCCTCATGGGCATTTACCATCAGGAAAGCAAATGCATCTCGGCCTCAGAAACTGGCCACTCTGGTAACATTTGGCGCAAGAAACGTGCGTAACAGAAGTTTTTTCTCCACAAAGACGACAGAAGGTAGATACAAATTGGTGGCAACACAGGGAACCTGCACTGAAACTTCTATGCAACGGGCCCTCCTTTGGAGTGACGTAATTTCAGTTCTAGTGCAACACGCTCTGGGTGGATGTCTGGAAGAGAAGTGTAGAATTATGCAGGCACGATGGAGGAAAGATTTCCATTACTGTCTGGGCTTTGTCTTCATGAAATATTGTCACTGAGTTGAGACAGTGATTTGGAAAAAAAAAATCCACATACATACAGACCGATCTGGCTGTGGAAGACCTGACTTGAACTAGAGGCTAAGGCTGGGCACCCCTCTTTCAAGCTACTAATAACTGTTTTAAGAGGGTATAACAAGAATATATGTGTACATGTAAAGCAACATATTAATGCACGAACAATGGAACTATCCATGCATGAGAAACCTTATGTACTGCCCATGACAAAAATGTATTCTTCCATAATGAAAACCAATAAAATTCATGTCATTCTTCACATTTCGTGTCTTTGTCCTTTTTAAGCGATAAGAATGCATGTGCTTTTTGAAAATGCCCAGTCATCTTTGATAAAATGAAATAAACATAATTAGTACTGGCAACGCACATACTATACCATTTCTTTTTATGATTAACCTCGTACACTCACGATTTTAGTTTCATAATTTCATCGGCAGAACTTTGAAACTGCCCTACAACAGAGCACTGACGAGGCAGGTGTGGACCTGAAAGTGGCTGGCAATTAACCACTACTTTATTTCACTGTGCTGCAAGCATAAAGTCAAATCTCAAAGATAGGTTTGATTGGTCTTTTAAAAATCAAATGACGGACCAACTCATAAACAATTAAAAAGAAATCAAAAACACTACACGAAAATTACATTTTGGAACTGACCTTTTTTTTTTTTAACCGTAAAATCAAATTTTGTCCAACAGACCTACACATCCTTTAAAGAAAATAAAAACACAAAATAAAGAGTTCAGTCACAGTTTCTGGAAACCAACCTTTCCCTTTCAACCACAACTTGGCATGCTTCAGTCTCGAGTGACACGCTATTATTATTGAATAGACATGACTCAACCAAACCTGACAAACATATTTATGCTCTGCACATGCTTGATCAACTTTTGAAAGACATGATAAGCTACTGCACAAGAATGAGGCAATTGTGAGAGTTTGGAAAAAAAACAAGCACCATGATTTCAAAATGCCTGAGATTGGAACGAAGGACATGTTCCTATATTTCATACATCTGCTTTATGAGTTTAAACATCATTTTTAAAAAAACAAAAAAAAAAAAACCAGTTGGCTATGATACTCCACTTTGGTACCAACGGGACGCTCGGTTGGCTGCACAAAATAAGCATACCATTCCACACAAATTTGGGTTCCGAATGTTGGAATGTTGAAAGAGTTGCTTACAGGCCAAGCTACGTGTCGTGGAACATGCTGCATGTCGCTGGCTCTTGGGAAAGAGTTGCTTACAGGCCAAGCTGCATGTCGTGTAACATGCTGCATGTCGCTGGCTCTTGGGAAAGAGTTGCTTACAGGCCAAGCCACATGTCGTGTAACATGCTGCACGTCGCTGGCTCTTGGCAGATTTTGGCCCAACATATGTACATTTGCCAGCCAACATTAACTCCGCCAGGCAGGGCTAGACCCAGCCTGCTCAAAATAAAGCCCCCAAAATGCACCTTTACTCCTAGACTGTTATACACAACTACTTGGCACAGATACAAGACAAATATTAAATAAGGCAAAGAAATACATGTTCCCTGGACCCTGCAAATCATGAACCCAGAATATCCTTGGGTTTTTGGGTCCCAAAACTTTGAATCCACCCAAGATATCATAGGCTATGCATAAAAGGCATAAGTTAAGCTTTTTAAATATACAGTACTGGAAGGCTTAATTCAGAACTATACATGTACAGGGGTTTTCCGATACTTGGCTTCATCTCCATCTTGAGCCTCGCCCAATTTTTAACCCCCGACTATGAAGCCGTTGGCTCAATAAGTTGTCAGACAGTGATAGTATAAAACGACCACTGAAATATTTAATGTTATAACTGTAGGCCTAGATTTAGGGATCGATTTCAGAGACCAGGTCTGATATGGGGATGAAACCAAGTATTAGAAAGCTGCCCAGGATCCAATTACATAGGGGCGCTTAGCACTGACAACAACTGCTTACCAAAAATGGGTAACCAGCTATGAAGATGGCATGCAATACAATTGCCATGACTGGTTCTCCGCTGATTTCTGTTTTGTACACAAATAATAAAATACTTGATAAGTGCAATGGTAAGAAGAATTTCTCAAGGTGAAAGATGGAACGTTCTATTCCACGAGATCAAAATAGAACACTGGAATAGAACATTCAATCTGCCACCAAATGAAATATGCCTTCCATTGCAAGAATGTGAGGCATTCACTTGTTTTATACAATTCCTGAATAAATCATCTGTAAACTTTGTGTCATATAAGCCGTCGTGTTACTTTGTCAGTCCAAAGTAAAAATGCATAACAAAGTTTTCATGTTTGATATGGTTAAAGCTTAAACAGACGCTGCATTGCGTCTTACATTATGCTATCACAGTTTGACAGACTTCTTTGTTTCCTTTCTGTTACAAACATAATTATTACTTCAGACATTTCCTCATCTGACAATAGACGAAACAGTGCCAGTGTTTTCCACTTGTCGGTACTGTCCCAAATTTTTTTTTCTGCATGTGAGAAGCGCAGTCACTGCATTCTCTCTGTGTGTGGAGAGCTGCGACTGTGGTGATCATGCCTGCACACGGCACAGCGGTATAATCAGCGGCTATCAACAAAACAGTTCATCACTGATTCTAACAAATGATTTATGACAAACGATCAGCGACTCAGACGACAGAAATTTGTTCACGTGCTGCACATCGCAATATACGTGCTAAGCAATATATTACTTAACAGCTCCGCGTAACTAGGGGTTCTGATCTGCTAGCTGGAGCCGGGCTGGACGGGAGGGTCCCCGATGCCCTCTGCCAGCTGATGGACCTTGGCGGCAACTTCGTAGGCAAGGGAGTCGGCCATGGCCTGCAAGCCCACAAGATGCAGACACGGCACATATCAAATGAGTACATTATTACACATCATCCATATTCACGAGGCAATACATGCACAATGAAGATAGGAGCCGTCAAGTGGCAAAAATCTTGTGTCCTGGCCTACCCCACGTGGGGGGGGATTTCTTTTGTTGTGAAATATGGGAACGAATTGTGGGCACAACTTTGTCCCTATAATGGGGTTCGTCCCCAGAGTATAACTATCATTCAAGTGTGTAGTCCCCCTAACTATGTGTTTCCCTTGCTCTGGTGGGCTCCTCAATGAGAACAGACTGCATTTACTGTATGCCCCTCTTTGTGAACAGAGCATGGGTTCCACGCCCTCACCAAGCCAATTAATAAAAATATCCAAGCGTTTATAAGGCGCCCAGTATCTCACAGTATCTGTAATTCAAAGGCGCCTGTATATTATCATTATCCTTGCATATTGGGCTCGCAACATTCCTGAAATTATTTAAGCTCCCTGGGGAGTGTACTAACCTGATGCTGCCATGTCAGGTGCAAACGGCTAAACATGATAACCAAATCTACCCTCACAGGTACCCATTTACTCCTGGGTGGAGGGAGGCGCACAGGGGGCCAAATGACTTGCCCGAAGTCACAACATGCTGCCAACAGCTGGATTTGAACCCCTGATCCAGTGACTGGAAAGCTACAAACACTAACCACTAGACCACATGTCCCCCCTCCCCAAGTCAATTCCTACAGTTAGTCCTACCTGTGTGTCTGCCTCAGCGTACACTCTGACTATATCTTCAGTTCCCGAGGGTCTGGTTGTAAAAATGACAATCTCAGAGTAAGACGAATCCACTAACACCTGCATTCCCCACATTATTTAAAATAACGGTAAGGACTTCGGCAAGGTATAACACCAGAAGTTGGAGCAACTTAGCACTGTTTGACAACATTTGAACACGACAGCAGTTGGTGTAGCTGTCCCAACAGATGGCAAATATGTTGATTTAAGCAAAATCCATAATTCAACATGACAAAGTTAATATTACGGCTTCACCTTTTAATATCCACAGCTGTGGAACAAAATCCTGAAAAGAGGACAAATTCAGAGAAATATGCTCATGTGAACAGCCCAAGCATAAAATGAGAACTGGCTGCTTTACAAGACTCACTTTCAAATCCTGCTTTTTGAAGTTTGAAATTTGGCACTACCTGACAAACGATCGAGCCTTGGTGTACTTGCTGACGATGTCGTCAATGGCTGGCTGGAGACCAGATGGAGTTGTTGCACAACGTTCCGCATCGGTGGTCTTAATGACCCTTCGATCCTTCACCTGTTAACAAAGACCACCAACTTTCGGTTAACTTACATGTAATATACCCCCTCGCCTCCAAAGAAGAGAGAGTCTAGCTTCCAGATGCACAGGCAGATATTGTAAATTCCTGTGAAACTTGGCCTTGAGTGTCTGCCCCTTCGGGGCATGTTAGACAGTGAGTCCCCCAAAAGGGGCATCACTGCCGTGCAAAAAATGCAGCGTCTGTTTAAGCACAGGTAACTACTGGTAAATCTTTGTGGTCTTGAGACCCAATATCTAGTCGGTCCAACTTTACAGCCTCTCACAGCGACGGATCACCTTGACTTTGAGTTGTCTGTTGGGCAGGTCAGTGTAAGCTTCATTCCAGTCAGCCGTTGTCCAGTCCTTGGCATGTAGGATACACTCCACCACCAGCATGTCGGATATTGCATCGCCAACAGTCTGGAAAAAGCACCGCAGTAATGTTTTTAAATTAAGACACAAATGCATTTGTCCTAGGCACTGCATGGTGATATGCCCAAATTTGGTTTAAGTTAACGACTAACTCTGTGAAACTATTGTATCATATCTGAGATGCAAATGATTTGCTGTTAGAATCCAACTCCAGCGAAAAATAAAGAAATTACACTAATCACATGTCACCTCTTTCTACTTCAGTGAGGCAGTTTCTGATTGGTCAGTACCGGACCTGATTACCTCATTGATAAGCTCCTGCAGATACTTTAGAGTGGTGGCCGCTTGTCTCTGATCATCTGACAGCCTTAAGAGAAACAAACAAACCAACGAAAATCACTACAAACAGCGAACAAAATCACAGCTATGATCTTGCAGAATCTGTACATCGTTTAGCTCTGGAAAAATGTGAGTCTTTTTGACAGACTACAAACAATTGGAGAATGACTAAAGACAGAATTAAAACTTAAAAGTTTGAAACTTCCAAAATCTGCGACAGTAATCTTTATGTACACAGGGAAAAATATGAACCAAAAACCAGGAAGCATTATCGAACTTTGGACACAAATTTGGAAATCCCAAACGGCGTGACTCCAAATTCTTGGAGCTTCTATTAACATGCCAACCAAATAATGACAATGGCTCAGCAAAAAGAACAGGTTACAAGCTTAAAGAGTATGTGATGCCTGCCGCTTGTTCATTATTGGATATATTTCCATATTACCTTTCGTCCTGGCTAGCTGAGTTGATCTTCTCTGTTGCTAAGGCACTGAATAACACCTGTAAGAATGAAGTGCGATAACCAAATCAATGGGAAACTTGCTCCCACACAATGCTCGCTGAGTTGTAAAAACTTCACACGTATGCCGCACAGGTTCACCACTCCCTTCTTGAACTCTTACTGCAGTTTGCCAAAACAGCACCACTCAAACGCCAAATTGACTGCTGTGTAACCTCGAGTTTCAGAGCTTACCGTTCCATGTCCGTTGGCTTCAAAGTAGACACCCACGTCAAATTCCTGAGCTTTGTGGTGGAGATGCTTGACTCCGGTACAGGCGCAAGCTACGGGCACTTTCTGTACACAAAATTCATGCATGTCGGAATTTTAACGCTCTCCATTCCACACAGGGTTTCAGGAAAAGAAACTTGAATAGGAGTGGCATTTGCACTTAGGGTTTGTGAAACATCGAAGGTGCTACACTTAGTGAGCATTCAAGTTGCAGTTTGTCAGTCTTCCAATCTAGCGATGTCTTCATTCAATGGACACATGACCAAAGATCGTATAGTGCCGAAGGCGCAAGATGGCTAACTCTGCCCAAAAGATGTAATTACCATGGGCGCCATTTGAGCAAGCGATACGACTACGCAGTTTACGGTAATGCTTGGGCACAGGCTCACCAGGTGCACGTGCCTGCCATGGTGCTTGCCCCTGTGCATTAATATGTATTGCGCAGGCGTATCGCTTGCTCAAATGGCGCCCATGCGATTACAACGTTTTACGTGTATTCCCGATGAAGTTCAACATCTTGCGCCGCTTTGCAGCGCTATACGATCTTTGCACATGACTGAAGCTATAAACCTGCATATGTCATCTAGTCACGGATCATAGAGGCTGTAACTACCATGGTTGCACACAAGTGCAAATTTTTTTTGATGACTATGGGTAACGCTCATCAATGGGCTGACCAAAGCTTTCCTATGGCTTATTTTTAACTTAACATTTGTCAAGGTGAGCTTGAATGTCTCTCTGATCTGGGTGGCCATTCAATTTTGAAATTTACAGGGTTTTGTTTTTTCAAACAGGTCACAGAAACGATGTTCCAGTTAATGATTTGCAAACAAGTTTCAAATGGTGTTAGTTTTTGTTTTGAAATTAAAGTGATTTAGGGGATAGTTTAAACTGACTTTTATAATTTACTACTAAGATGAGTCCCTTACAAGAACACCAGTGGCATATTGGGTTGAGCTTCCATTGGCATAGGCCGTCTGCACAAGGCCTATGTTGAGCTGCAAGTTTGCTGCAATAAGCAGCTCTTGGATGTAGCCTGCAATCTGTGGACGGATACAACGCGGGTTAAGACATCACATAACGGGCAAGTTGAGTTGGTTAACGGGTGTCTCCTTGTTTACAGACTGTGCACGTAAGCAGTGAGCGGGTTACTCATGACAGCCGCAGGACAGACCCCGTGAAAGTGGTAATTCCACATATGACAGATGCTCGACAGACTGTGCATGGAACTTGAACTGTTCGTTCAGAAGCAAGTCATCTTTTTCCTCTGAACTACATGCCATCCACCTAAAGACTGAACGATTGTGAGTTTGCACAGCTGCCATCTTGCAGGCCAGTGCTTTTGTTCCATGGGGCATCCACAAAGTAGGTTTACCTGTGGAACAAAAGAACTGTCCTGCAAGATGGCTACCATGCAAAGCTTCTATTCTCATATCATTTGAGACGTACAGGCCTACAAGCAATTTTGATGCGACACGACGATACCTGAGGAGATGAATCTGAGCATTGAGCAAACTTGACACTGTACTTACAAGGGTAGCTATCTTGTCACCATCCAGCAAGTGGAAAACACCATCTATAGAGACCAAAAAGTAAGGTGATTTATACAAACCAAGCCCCGCTTAAGACATGGCTAACCACAGAATGTGGGCTGGGTTCATGGCCACAAAAATTCACTCACCATGGTCTATGAAGTAGTAGACAATCCTGTCGGCATCGCCGTCCAGAGACACACACTTCTGACCCGCTTCTTCTAAAGGCATCCCTTTGAAGTTGAACGAAAAACACCTGGAGTTAAATATATCGCTGGGTTTTCCACAATTGAACAATAACATGCATACTGCTGTATGGATAAAATGAAAACCGGATCACCTTTTTGCCTTACTCCTATGAAATAGGTGGGACCATCAGTTTCCTGAAAAACATAGGATTTGAAACACGCAGGAAGGTTCCTAACTTCAATGCCTACAGTGCTACAGCTAATTTACATCCTGGTGCAGAACTGCACACTGAAGATTACTGACAGCATAGGACTGACCTATTTCATATACAGTGACAATACGTGGTTACTAATGCCAGCAATCTGTTTGCAGTGTCTAAATTCTGGCTGGCAAAGATTTAGTGAGTGACTTACCATAGGGTGGTTTCTGCTGCACTTTGACAAAGTCTGCTCCGCACTGGAGATCAATTAAAAAAAAAAAAGGTGTGAAATTGATTTCAACTGCCCCATTCCAGTTTACCGGGACTGGTTTTTAATGGTTCCATGCAAGAAATGTAGAGGCTGAATGAAAGCAAGTGCTTTGTCAGTGCAATATTATCACTAATTTCGAAGGCCGGGTTGGAATTTCTTGACGGCAACCAATGATAATGCAAGAACCTGCAAAAGCAGTTTGCCAACAGCTCCATCCATTTCAAAAAGACACACCTGTTCTTGCTCGCAGTAGCTATTACTAGGACATAGCCTAATCAAGAGAGCCAGTGCCATTCAGGTTGAATACAAAAACAGTACAATGATGATGTAACATTCTGCATCCCCATTGCTTAGAAACATGTGCTTATGCACAAACTGAAATGAACATTTCAAGAAAACTCTAGACGGGGTATGCTTCAGCTTATTACAATTGTCAAAACTTCCCTAATTGAAATGGCTATGCTGATTCAAAATCCCACCCTGTCATTCAGTTGTCCGTGAGTGCCGTCGTTGTAAACAGAAATCTTCAGTTTGTTGTTGAAATGCTGGCACATCTGCTGGATTTTGAGAGCTCCCACACCGTTTGCCCCGTCCAACGACAACTCACCCGTGTAAGAACTCTTGCTGCTCTTGCACTAGAACCGAAATGACGTCACAAACCATGCTGATTTGGGGCAAAACTTATCTCAAAAGAATCAAGAACTTGGGCAAATGCCGTTCCACCTGCAGCCAAAGGTCAACCAACACTGTTGACTTTGCCATGTTAGAACAAGCTGTGGGTAGTAGGCCTACTCTTGTAAGGCAACACAAAGAGCACAAACACACGAGGGCTGTGCTGAGTTTGCAGGTACCAGATATCCCACAGACATGGTGAGTACCTAGATCTATTTTGTAATGACAGTTTCCCGTAGACTTTGGAAAACAGTATTTTCTAATGGAAGCCTAAGGTGTTACAGTTTGTGGAGAATCCCACGGTCACAATGCTTTATTGTTTCAAAGGATATTACAGTTGTGCAGGAACATGTTACAAAAATGGGTACTCGGTTGTGGTAAAAGCAATACAGGCACACAAGTGGACCACACCCAGTTGTCTCCCTTTGACACGGTTTCAGAGAGACTTAAAGCGGAGCTCTACCACACCTGTTCTCTGACTTTGGTGAAGGCGGAGGCCAGCTTGCTGTAGTACCCGTGCTCGGTGGGGGTGCCGTAGCTACCTTGGGTGTTGTGGCATCGCACCATGTAGTGGAGCTGAGGTGTTGACAAGAGCCCTGAGAGAGAGAGAGAAGAATAAATATCAACTTGACAAAAAAAAGTGTGTAGCTAATCAATCAAACAAAAATGACATTTAATTTGGTGTTGATGTGCTGAAAGGTCACAGGTTTTTACCTGCGTCAAGGCTGAATGTCCCACAGTAATTCATGTGAACCTTCCAAATATCATTCCATCGGTTGCACCACAAACTGATCTATTGAGGATGGCTGCCACACCACGAACTGACATATCATGTGTACAAAGTCTATGGATGGTATATGAACTTCACCTTGTGGTGCATCAAACCTATCCTATGTATCACTTTCATAGTGAAACCAACTATTTACACAAGTATACTTAACTTAAAAATTAATATACTATTCCATTCAATTCAATTCAAAATTTCTTATTCATGTCATTAGGGACATTTTGATTGAAATACGCAAATACATAATATAAAAATTTACAAATCTTAAAGTGTTAAGAATCTGCACTATTGCACAAACCACCAAATACAGTACGAGTGATCCACAACAGTGCACCACCAAGAGTTTGCAACGCGTTGGCCAGTCACAACGCGCAAAATCTGTTGACCTTTTCCAAGTTCCAAATAAACAAGTATGGTCAATATGCCAGTTATTTACAGAACACGGCAGAAAAAAAAAGACAAAGAGAGATTTCCTTCAAGCATGTGGCTGGAATGGCTTGTGTTCATACCATAGTCAATGTAGTCACCGTTCAGTGCTTGAATGCCATCTATCAGAGCCTGAGCTAACCCAAAGCTGCTGGGTCTGAAAGACAGAAAAGAAATTGCAGCACGGAAAGTGATCATACCAGCCCAAATACTGACTGCATTAGATTCATTTAGTTTAAGACCACCAGCAACACTGTAAAGAGCAGAGAAGATACATGTACATGTAAATCCACGGTCACACTGCATCTACTCTAGCCCTGAGGTGAATCTTTTGGTGTAGAGAAAATGTGTGTTCTGAAGAACGGTTGGCAACCGACCACTATCGACATGAAATCACCGCATTCGTGATACGTCCACACAGCTATTGCATGTCCGAGTAATGGCAGAACCACTGTGCCAGATTGTGTCCCAAAAAGCCGCTAAGGGCAAAAGCCAATACAATGACATACATGCAGTTTGGTACTGTGCCAATACATGCACAAACTGAAACCTGCCATATAACTTATTCAGGATAATCAAAATGCATGTGTGGGACTGGCCTTATCAGTAACCATCACCAGCCAAATCACATGCTTTGAACAAGTTCGGGCTCAAGTAAACTTGGGTGTCTTCATTGTGAGTGGCCTTGTGGGTACTCAGCAATACTATAAAATATGAAATCATACTGAGAAACTCTTGAGATGCTTGCAGATCAGTTTCATAAAGAGAAACCTTCGGCAAAACATTGCCCAGCAAACATACTGGTAAAAAGACGAGAGATAATGTAAATTTTGGGCTGGGTGAGGTGATGATGGTACATGTAGGAACTCCAGCTTTTGAAGAAGACATCAGTGAATCAGCTTTACCTTGTGTCTCTCGCCAAGAAGATGTTTGCTGGCACTGTCATGTCAACATCAAGCTCAGTGATGAGGCTTTGGATGCACTTGCCCAAGTCTTCATCACTGGAATAATAATGAAAATAATGAGGAACAGGCAGAACCGTTTTCACAAGGCCCCCAAATGTCTGTATTAAAATTGAACTGTCGAACTACAACAGGTTTTGAAGGTGACGACAGCGACGATATGGTGTATACCCCCCACCCCACCCCAGATGGAATGCCAGTCCATCACAGGTTGTTCCACAGCCTTTGGGAAGTGGGGTTTCACGACTGTAAACCACACATGTATGTGTACTTGCAGGCCAACAAACCAAACTCAGAGAGTTTGTTGATGTGCATCACGTTTGCAATGGCCAAAAAGCTACATTTTCCTCGCAGCTTCAAGCAAGTGGAAAGTTGAATGAGGCAGTGTTCTTTTTATCTTCGGGCAGCCATGCGTGCGCTAGTACATGCAGAACAGGTAAACACTGATTTGTTTGAAAGGTTATTGGTAAATGTACATGTAAATGTACCACATGCATATGCCTATGGTCTGGGTTCATAAATGATATCAGTGGACTATCTCATTTCCTGATGTGCACCAATGATGGATCTCAGCCTAGGAGCATGTGAAGGGTTTCTTTCCAAAATGAGATATATCCATTTGAAAAAAATACAATTTTTCCACAATTTTGAAAGACTCAAGAACTTCTTTTTCACTATTTTGACTCTTTCAAGTTATGTTTCGCTGGCTGAAAGCTGCAGAAACTCGCTGCAGGCAACTGAGAGAGGGTAGGATTCTGAAAGATACCAAAATGGCGCTTACCACGTTACGAAAATGAACTCTTCATGTGTACAACTGATTCACATGATTAAAGTTCACGCAATCTAAAACTGACCTGGATAGGTGAGAAAATGGCCATACCACATGTACATGCAGAGAACACAATGTTACAGATCTGGAAATGTAAAGTTGATGTGATGTGTAATGCGTTCTGTGCTGGGCCAAATTACTTGAATATCACCGTTGCTAAGGATACAGAGTATTTACATTTATGGTAATTTGATGAACGTTTGGTGAAACTTTTCCAAACGCCGTCACATGTACCCTGTACATGTGTGTACATGTACAATAAACCAAATCATCACCACATATACATGTATGTATACATACATAATTTATGGCAAACAACACGGATACAAATTACAAGAACAAAAACATACTGTAACTGGCGAAATTATTGCTGAAAAAAAGCATATTTGGCTCTATATATGGTTATGGGACAATTAAACTCCCTGTGAAATGATTGTTTTATGTAAGCGGTCATTTTGTAGAAAATAATGACAAATGGTCATTTCAAGAAAGATGTACACGATGCATTTTTGAAAATTGCCACCAGTAGATTGGTCTTAGTTCCTTCGCTACGGAAGACTGCTACTACCGCACCGTTGTGTGAGGATAAGTGCATCCCACACATACAGTCTATTCACAAAGCAGCTGCTGGTTCAATGGGGCCTGCTGCTGGACAAAGCCCCTCATCCAGAGCATGCCACAGCCCAGCAGTCACGGTCAAAATAATCCTGCCATGAAGGGGTTAATTTGGTGAAGTTTGCAAACATTGACAAGGCCAGGGTTCCTGCACCTAAAGCACAAGTACATTCCATGACTTTTCCATGACCAAATTATGTAAGTGCATGACCCAAGAACATTTCTTTGATTATTCAGATTTTTAAAGTTGTGAGTAAAATTACCCTTTTTTTGCACTTCTTTCTAATAGTAGAAACACACACAGGGTTTGAAAAATTCCATGACTTTTCCATGACTTCAGTCATTTTCAAATTCCAGGCCTGGAAAGCAAAAAAATTTCCATGACTTTTCTAGGTCGCGGGAATCCTGCACTACTGCGTAGCTGCAGTGGGCTGAATGAGAACAAGCTGATTTCGGATGTAATTCACATCATGACATGGCAATCGTTTGATTTAAAAACTTTGCTTGAGGTGGGGAGCACTTGCCAGACAAACTTGTACATATATGTAATCATTTGGATCTTACTGCTAATCTCAAGCTGGTATTGGGTTCAGTGGCTCTTGTTAATGGCCAATAATCCTACTTGTCTGTTGCACTATTGTGATCTTGAGTCTATTTCTAAATGCACTGATGGGACTCAGGCAGAACCTAACAGGAATCTATGGAACTGATCACGAAAACCTTTCAAAAATTGTATGATCAATATTCAAAGAATTAAGGTTCTGAAGAAAAACAGGTATTGTAACTAATGTACCAGCACTGATGTATATTTATGTGAATACGCACCCCAGGCATTTGTTAACAGACACAACCTCAATTCATTCACCTTTGACGAACGCGTCCAGGTTTTTTTCTTGGAAAAGCTGGGGGGCATACAAATGTTTTGACGCACACAGCAGCAAATCCACAAGAGCATTTCATGCAGAAACTGAGGGACAACTTCAACAGGCTGTGTGCTCGTTACATGAATGAGTACATGTGTGTGCACGATAAAAATAGTTTCAAACTCCTAGGAAACTACACGTCCATACGGTAGCCATGGAAACCACACTAATTTGCCCTGCCATCTGCGTGTTTTGCAAAACAGAACAATGACGAAAGAAGGGGCACATAATGTAATAATTCACCGCTTATCTGGATTTATAGAAATTTGGCAGGTCAGTTTCTACTGCGCACAGTGAAAAAAAAAGAAATTCAATTCACAAGAATGTCCAGACACCTGTTGTAATGGTGGTGAAACACAGCAAACATTTATCCCACATCTGGTCGTGAGTTATTGATTTTATGCCGGCGCGTTCTGAAGTCCGCAAAGTAAAATGAGGCTCAAAAAATGCACCGCAGCAGCTTCGAGGCGTGGTACCCTGAAATTCAGACTACACGCCCATGATTTATGACATACGTGTACAGGGCAGTCAAACAGGGTTAATGCAGGGCTGAAAGGGCTTTCCATAAAGCCTTGTATTATCCTGCACCCTGTATTTTTCCATGTTGATGTTTGTCCCATTTCACGGAGCACAAATTTGCCGCCATGCATGAGTGAGAAATGCTTGTGTACATTTACATGCAAATGAAACTGATCCACACAATACACATGTAAATCCCAACCATTACTTTCATGGACCTGTGTATCCCTTAGAGCAGAAATTTAAGCCACTGCAAAATTCAATTTTTATGGAAAGATCTCCTTCCAAAGTTAACCTTAACTGGCCAACACTCATTTCGTTTGGAATTCAAACGAAAGGATGCTGGCCATGAAAAGACCTGAGGCACTTCCAATTATTGCCATTCAAAATCAAATTCACAAAAGCCTTTCTCAGTTATAAATCTACCAGGCAAAATGGCATACAATATGGAATAATTCAAGAGTCAGTTTATCTTTTTAGTTTGGCAACCTGAGAATAAAATTGCAAGAAATGAAATAAAAGTTAATCAAAAACTAATGTCATTTATACTCTTAAATAATTCCAAAATTATGACAAATTACATGTGCAGTGTATCTACATGTAAATGTTTTAAGCCACATTAAAAAACCCTGAACATGAGGTAGGGAACCCAAAATAGTCAAGCACCAACCCATTAATAGATTAAAGGCAAATGTAGTACACTGAACATGATAAAAAATGGTTTCCCCGGGAATAAGGTGTATTTCACCATGATCTGACGTCTTCCCTGGAAATTCCCACACATCTGGTTTACTGGTTTGGTTCATACAGGTGAACTTCTTGTATGTTGGTGTAGTGGTTTGAGTGCTTTCCTTACTTTTCACCACCAAGACCTGGGTTTGAATCCCAACAAGACCAACATGTGGATGGGGTATTCAGTTTCTACCCAACTCGGTGGATTTTATCTAGAACATTCCTTCGGGAGTTTTCCTTCAACCTCTAAGACAATGACTGCTTCTCATTATCTCCTCCCTCTACATTCCTTCAAGCTTGTGAACCGCAGAGCCTACATCACATTTGAGCAATCCTCGGTTTCAGCACCAGAGAGAATGAATGATAATAGGCCTGCTATTCAGAAAAATACTCAGCTAGCCACATGTACATATAGGTATATAGGGTAGCTAGCAGTAGCTAGGCTGAAAATACATGTACAAATTACATGTACTTGCAGATGACATACAGTCACAAATCTACTTTCAAGAACTGCTCACACTGTTTTACAAGTATGGACAGGAACTTTATGCAAATACTTCTATAGAGTTGAAATTATGATGGATATTGAATCTCATCTATTGTAGTCCATTTCTTTCTTTTCAATCAAATTGCTGTGCATTTCTTTGAAAACCACAAGTGCCTTCATGATTTCAGGATGTACTTGTACATGTATGTACTCACGAAGTATTGGCAATTCGTGTTGCGTATCCCTCCCAGGCCGGCAACAGCATCTCCCCCATAGGTTCCACCAGCTTGGCCCCGTTGTCCTGCTCTGGGTTGTGGGAGGCGGTGATCATGACCCCAATGGTCGCTGGGAATCAAAAAGAAAGGACCAATCACCTCGGCGCGCACCCTGAAGGTGCACACCCTGAAGAGGGAACTTCATGCACCTTTTAAATGCACAATGGAGTGAATGTGTATGGCCTTTATGTACGTGTACATGTTGTTGACATGTTGCAGCATTTTCTCACGATCAAAACACCCATCATAGTTGTATCCACAAACTATTTCTAGGAGGGGCACGGTGATACACTTGTATACTCTTTCCAATTCTGTGGAGGTAGGCATTGTACATGTACTTTGTGCACTTGCAACTAAGAACTAAGGTACATGTGTAACCGAATGGTAAAAGAGTACTTCCAATTTGCAAAAGACCATCTATGTGTGTACTACTAATTACTACACTGCAAACTAACTATCATGAACTAGCATTCAAAAGGCCACTTTCGGTGTAAAGTGTTCTCTTACCTCTGGCTGCTCTAGATCTTAGAACAACAAGAAGCCCGAGACGATACAAGACTGGATCTAATATGTCAGCTCTGCAGAAAAATAAAGCCAGAAATAGTCATCAAAGTAAACACAGGAATACAGTTTTCAGTAAAAGCATGTACACATTCCCGTACATGTTATGTGAGCCGATTTAGCTCCAAACTCCAAACACTTACATGTACACAATCTTTATGTGCACCGAGAAATATATTGAACATCTTGATGTCTTGTACATGTAACTGGTACAACCTGGACTTCATCCAGGAAAAAATGTTGGCATAACTGTAACAAAAACTGCTGGCGTCCCACCGTAATGTGGATGTCGATCGAGGTGTATTCCAGCCACCAGGTCATCGGGATTGAACATGCGCATTTTAGGTACAAGGAGTTCCTGGCAATGTAGCAGTAAATGGAAATTACTGTTAAAAACCAAAGTTTCATTCATAACTACACAATATTCTTTTAATTATCAACAGAATTGGCAATTGTTTAAATGTCTTTTTCTAATTAAAAAAATTTATTTTTAAGATTTATATCAGATTACATGTATGACATTTACAGCAGACTTTTTTGGAAAAATTTGAGACATCTATTCCAGAACACACAAATTTAGCTGAATGTGTGTTAATTGTCTTTTATTTATTTCCTTTGCTACAAAACCTATCAAATTTGGATTTAAATTAAGAAATCAAATCAAGGAATTTGATTAAAATCACAAACCACCTTGAATATTGCCTATGCCCAGGTAAAATGTGAATAGTAAGGCACATAAATGGTCTGGTAGCAAAAGGGAAGACAGTTCCTTAACCACTACCAGCCGGGGACTCTGAAATCGGAGCCGTATGGTTTATATGTGTGGCCGGGGTCTCCAAACTCGGACAAAGGAA